TTCTGAATAGAATGTTAACAATACTAAAAGCTCAAAATGCTCTGTTCCACCTTGTACTATGAAGCAGTAGTTTTCAAGTTAACGGCTCCTTTTACCTTTTGTTCTGTTGAGGTAGGAAATTCCAGGGCTGACATTTTCCAAATGATTCTAGTGAAGGTGTATGCACTTTAAAAACACAGTACTCTTCCGGTATTACCACATGACATCACAATGTGGAACAGAGTGTTTTCCAATTGAGAGAAGAACTCGGCCTAAATATGCAGTGTGAATGAAACAAAACAAAACTCCAGATATGCTTTTGATGAGGAAACAGCATTATAACATAGATCAGAAAATGGCGTAATATTGACCCTTTCATAGTGTAACCTATGATCTCCAGTAGTTGTTGAGGAGAGATAAATCTTTACTTGTGTGTCATGCTCGTCAATATGCTGCATTTTAAAGTTTCCTCTTGACTTGGTTTTATGTTGGAGTATGCTCTTTTTTCTATTCTCTGTGGAGAGTGGTTTCTAAAAAACAAACTCCAGACTTTGTGCTTATGGGAATTACTCTGAACATTGTGTAGGAGATGCAGCCCCCCAGAGACCAGAAAAAGTGAAGAGCAGCATGTTGAACACCTGGCTTTGTTGTAAAAACACCAGCACACAGCATATGGCTTCAATACTGCTATTCAAATCCCCAAATGCACTTACTTTTACTAATGCAATATATTTATTCACTTTCTATTTATCCTTATGCATGGCTGAAGCATTTTTAGCTGCTTTTTACGTAATGGTTTTGCATTTTTTGGACAATTGCCAGTTAATCACACAAGTAAGCCATTGATTATATTTAATTTAAGTGAAATACCTCAGTCTTCTGCTTGGCACTTAAGACTTAATGGGAATGGGTATTGAAATAGAGTGGCCGCAGGGTGTAATTTCAGATAGTTCTGTACTTGAGCTACATCTGTCAAGATAATCTGTTCAAGTATATACTGAGAAATGTACTTGGGCACTTATTTTCAAAAGACATTTACTGAAAGATTCTGTGAACTTGGAGCTGAGGACAGAGAGAAGGATAATTTGATGCTCTTTCTACTGCACTATTGGACTGATTGGCATTTTGATTACGCAGGATAAACAGCACATTTATAAGCAAAACAAAACATTCACAAACGAGGTGTCGCAGATGTAAAATCATTACTAATTGCTTTTTGGCATATGTTTATTTCTTTTGCAATTTTTGGTGCAAATGTTACAGACTTGTTTATTAGCAAATTTCTGAAAAGTTAGTGTTTACAAGCTGTCCAAAATTCAGAACATTTTGAGACCCAGGGGTTATCTTGAAGTCAAACCTTTTTTTGCTACCAAATATATGTGGTCATTGGAAGCAAAAACACAAGTAGAAAACCAACATCACAGCCCCCTGCATGTGCACCGTCCCACAAAATTGAAAGCACTGTGTTCCCCAAAGGCACTATGTGTTTTTTGTCTTCCACAGTTATCACTCTTTCTATGCCCAGTGGTCTTTTCGCGCCACACAACATCCCAGCGCTCTCCAATGACATATTAAAGCTACTCTCCTGTTTCAGCTGCCATAGACACCCCTCATTCATCAACCACCTCAGCGAAAACCCTGCACACGGTTCGAACCTCAAACGAAAATCACAACCAAAAGCATGAAAGTCAATACGAGCGGTATTCTTATCTCTGCAGCAGTTTTAAGAGAAAGTGAGCCAGTACAAGTATATCTGAGGAGAGCGGGGTTACTATGCAGAGAAATTGCCTTCACAGGTTGTACCAGTGTTTGTGAAAGTCGCTAAACTCTGAATGCAATGATGTATTTACATTTCAACCACAGTGATATTAGCTTATTCAGCGACGTGGGAGAGGCAATACTCCTGTGTCTGCTGGAGTGTTAAGCACAGCGTTTGGATGCATATAGTTCAGTAAAGAGCAAGTGTATGAATTATTTGTTACGGTTGTAGCACTAGGTTTTTTACATCCTCGAATGTGTTATAAACAGTGGTAGAATGTAACACAGTACAAGTAGAACAGTACTGTACATTTCCTAGTGAGCCAGAGTGTTGGAGACGTGTGGAGACACTTTTTAAAATATTTCATCCAGTCCTTGTATTTGCAGAGGTCACTGGTGCTAGGCTAGTGCATGTCAATGGCCATAGTTAGCCTGCCAAAAAAACAGTCTAACCAACTCCACAAAACACCTGAAGCAAATCTGTTATTACACCAGACTGTTGATGTGAATGTCTTTGTTGACAGAATAATTTTAGAAGTAAAACCAGCCTTGCATTTGAAGGATTTATGTCTGAGCAGCAGCAGCAAGTTGTACTTCCTGATAGAAAGCTCGGCAGTGGCGGACTGATATGAGAAAATAGTCCCTCAACATGCAACGATTCATGCGATGCAAGGTTAGTTTTATTTCAAACATTATTCTGTCAACAAAGACATTTATGTCGACAGTTTGGCGTAATAATAGATTTGCTCCATGTGCTTTGTGAAGTGGGTAAGACTGTTTTAGTGGCAGGCTATGGCCATTGACATGCACTAGCCTAGCACCAGTGACCTCTGCAAACACAAGGACTGGAAGTAAGATTTTAAAAAGTGTCTCCACACATCTACAGCACTTTGGCTAACTAGGAAATGAGACCCTATGTCCAAAATTCTGAACTGTCCCTTTAAGTAAAATACAGATATTTAAAATCAATAGTTTTACTTTTACTCTTTAAGTACATTTTTAAACAGGTACTTTAATAGCCTACATTTACTTCAGTGGAGTTTGTCATGGAATGCTTTTACTTTTTACTTACTACTTTTTTGCCTCAGTATCTGTCCTTTTACTTAAGTCACAAAATGTAATACTTGTCACCACTGGTTATAAAGTTGTGTTGTTTGAATATTTAGCAGCTTTTAACATGTTGTCAGATATACACTCTTGCTCCTTCTTCCGGGGCTTATTATTGTGTTAGAATCATTTGCAGCAGCATGAGCGTTTACCTGGAGCGGCTCATCTCTGAGACTCTCCTCAGCACCTGGTACCCGGACCTCCCTGACCCCGCCTCCACACCATCTGCTCCGCACAGGCCCTACTGACCCTCTACTCCTCTGCTGTGCACGCCTGTCCCACTTGCCGTTAGCCCAATTTGTTTAAGGCACAAGGAAATATCAAGTATATGGCAAGAATCCAGCAAGCAGAAGGGTTATCTGGATCAGAGAAAACCAAAGGGAATAATTCTCTATCATTACATGACTTCTGTGGTCATGTGGAGTAAAGTTCGTCCCAAAAGCGTCAGCCTTGATAACTGGTTTCGTTGTACACAAACGCGGTGCTGTCCTTATGTGGAGGCTGTAAAACTAATGGCCGTGAATGTGAACATGCTCTGTGCCCGCTACAATGGCCGTCCAGGTGTGCTTGATGAGCCATTGCTGTGATTATCAGCACGCTGCATTAGCACAGCTTGAAGCCCCTCAAGTAAATCACAGAGGAGAGGCGAGCATTTGTTCTGCAGGTGGTCCCCAAACTATGTTAATGGGCCTCCACCTGCCGCTGGGTCACTGCTCCTTCTGGAGATCTCCCGGTACAGACAGCCAGCAGTGAAGTCGGATTAAAATTAGCAGCATTAGAAGCTCAAGTGGTGCGCCTCTGCTGGCACGTCATTTATCATGTCTTCCTCTCTGCGCGTTTGGGTGCCTTGGATTTATGTGATGCCCGTGTTTTCATTTGCTCATGGGTCCAGACATGCTTTTTTGAATAAATCTGTTCCCCACTGACACAGACACACACATGGTTTTTGATAATAAACTCAAACCTGTCACTTCTCTCGTGCACTCGCTGCAAATCAGAGAGGTGGTTGGGGATTTCAGTGGTTGCGGGTGGTGGAGACAGGATGCCACGGGCCACAGACGAATCAGATGAGTCCAGGGCAGGGGCTGGCACAGGCGTCCATTTTGAGAAGAGCTACAAAGGAACACTGTGGTGGAATCAGCTAAATACCCCTCTTTATTTAGCTCAGGCAGTCTGTAGTCACTTCAAGTTTTGAATTTTGGTAATGAAAATCCATGAATGAGTTTTAGCTGAATGTTATTTACATACCACCTGTGTGTTATGATTTTTGCTCTGGTCATATTTCCCTATTGTGGAGTTAAATTAAAGTGAAAATTAGCTATGATGCAAAAACTCTATACTGTGTGTGCTTGATTACAGCAAAGCAGAAAATTATGGAAAGTTAGTTTTTGCATTTTACAGTTTTCATCATTTTTTGCTGAATTGTGTTGTGTGCAATAAGCCAGCTCCGTGGTGCATTAAGTACTCTAAGTTTTTCTACCCTAATCTGAATGTCCCAGTTGTGTATTGGGTGTGTCTGTGTGTGTGTGTGTGTAGCCACTGAGAGATGAAGACCTTGGCCAGTAACCTCAAACTTCACTGATCTGCACTGTTCTCATCTCTCCGCTGTCACCCCCTACCTCCCCACCTCATTACTCAACCTGCCCTATTAAAAGCATAAAGCGATACAGTATCTCATGTAGCAAATTACTAGACAAAATGGCATTGATTGTGTTAATAATGCCTCTGATAAATGCCTTCATTGACACAGAGGACGCCCTTGGCTTAACTCTGCTTTTTTGGACGTCCTCCTGAACAGTGGGTTGCCTGTGTATCTCTCCAAAGAGCTTTTGTGTCCCCTGCATTAAGAGGCAGCGCTGTAGTCTGAGTCAGATGAAGTTTGTAGGGCTGCAAATAGTGTTGTCATGATACTAAAATTTCAATACTGAGGAATAGACTTGACCCTCAATACCGATTTCAATGATAACTTTAGACAATAGAATGTTTTAAATAATAGTACTTTTTTATATAAACATTTTACATAAACATCCCTCAGTCGTCAGGTTCCATAGTGGTCCATACACTAGTCTATGTGGACGTATACAGGTTCTGATCATTTTAAAGCTATTCAGGAATTCATTTGACAATAGATTTTTTATTATCTTACCGGCTCAATGAGTATCTAGTTTCAGTATCAGTATCAATATTGAATTAGGGATGTAACGATATCCAAATCTCTCAGTACGATGTTATCACAATATGCATCTCACAGTACAGTATTTATTGCAATATTTTAGAGCAGCGAATATAAAGGTAGATTTTAGTGTGAATAATTTCTGTCATAATCCCAAGAATTCAAATAAAAAACATATTTCTTCATGGGATATGTAGTTCCTAGGGTTGTAACGATATCCAAGTCTCATGATAAGATATTGTCATGGTATGAACTTCACGGTACGATATTTATTGTGATATTTTGGGAAACCTCACGATTTGGTTGGGAGGCTCACGATATTATGATATTATACATTATAACAAGACTGACATCATAAAATGCTTTGACCAGTCATTTGGTACAACATTTATTTTCATAATCTAGGAATGTAACAATATCCAAATCTCACAGTACAGTATTATTATGATATGCATCTCACGGTACGATATGTATTGTGAGGCTAATAATTAAAAATGGGACACTTTTTTTGCTTTTAAAATACCTTGACAAGATTTTGGTGAATTATTTCCGTCATCATCCCAAGAATTCAAGTAAAAAATATATTTCTTCATGTTTTCTGCACTGAAATGAATCACAGGGTATGTAGTTCTCTATGTTTATAAACTGTTGCTATTAAAACCATGCATTTAAGATAAGACATATAATTTGATATATTGTGATAGCTCACGTTATTACGTTATTATTGTGAGACTTTTGATATATTTCGGTTATTGTTAGAGCTCTAATTCTCACAATTAGCAAACAGCAAAGACTAATTATTTAAGATAATAGTTTCATCTCTGTAGTTCAGACTTCTACAAACATGTTCTGATATGCATTTGGTTCTTGTATTATTATTTATTATTGTTTATTATTAAGAGTTCATATTTCACTCTTAAATCTAAAAAGTCTCAGACATGTTTAATATGTACACTTTAAACAAAATCCAACTATAAAAACATAACACACAATTGGCTATTTAACCAAAATCGTTCAGCCCTAGATATTGGACTTAACTTGGCACTGACCAGAATGAACTGTTTACTAAAAATACGAGCGTTGCCAAGTCGATGACCCAGCAGTAAAAGTGACCAGTGGAAGTGGTCGCCCTTGTATTTCACTGCCATCTTTGCTGTGCACGGATCACAGCTCAGGGCAAAGAACTGTAACTACTGGATAGTCAATTTGCTTGTCGCCGCTCAGGGTTAGAACTGGTGGGAGAGCGTGATACTGAGCAGAAGTAGATGGTCCCATTAATTAGCACAATTGGCATGAGCTAGTACTTCGCCATAGGGAGTGTGGGTGTGTTGTGCTGGCAGAGAGATGCTGACCTCCGTGTCATAGTGGGGAAATCTGGCAACCAGTCTAATAGTACCAGCAGAAAATTTGCCAGTTTGGTCCTTGGACGATTCTAACGTTTTTTAAGTGGTGGATATATTGGGTAGCTGATTACCTGCCTACTCAAAAATTAGGACATTGTTAAAATTTTTGTCTTGATTTTTAAATATGCAGTTACTTTTGTTATCATTGGTATTGCTATATTCTACTTTTTTCTAACAATTATTTTTTTCAGTTTTGTGAATTTTGGAATTGCTTGCTTTCACTTTTAATGAGCTTTTGATAGAAACTGACAAATCCTTATAATGAAAAGGACAGTTTTGTAAATCCACCCAACAAACAATTTTGACTTCCTACTTACTCTCTAATACAGTATATTTCTGTTCTTTGTGGGTTTCAGTTTCCTGTTTCCATGCACCATTTTGAAGACTTAAAATATAAGAGCATACACATTGGATTTTTGTTGTTTACTTCACCTGTACATGCTAAAAATAGTCTCCCTGATGTTATATTATGATGACCTACCTTTCTTTTTGTCTCTATATTTTTAGAACCCATGCGTGCTCTGAAAGGACCCACAGCTTCAGACATCCAGTCCAGACAGCTGACATTGCAGTGGGAAAGTTTGGCGTTCAACCTGACTCGCTGCCACACCTACTCAGTGTCCCTGTGCTACCGCTACACGACTGCAGGGGGCGGCGGCGGGCACAACACCACCGTGAGAGAGTGCCTGGCCGTAGAGCACAACACTTCGCACTTCACTCTGCGGGACCTGCCCCCTTACCACAGCATCCACGTGCGCCTGTCACTGACCAACCCGGAGGGCAAGAAAGAAGGCAGAGAGGTCACCTTCCAGACTGAGGAGGACAGTAAGTCTCCTGAGAAGGGTATAACACAAGGTCAGCAGCATAGAGAAAATAGGGCAACTCATAAACAACTGGTATGTTAGGTTGAAAACATATGCTATAAACTCCAAAATGCACCATAAATCCTATTAAAACACCCACACAAACAATGGACATGGGTTACAAAATACTGTAGTATTATATTTTGAAATATGAAATATGTGAAATAAACAAGCTAAAAATATTATAAGGTCCTAGATCAACGGCCAAAGTGAATTGTTCAAGCTTATTTCAGCTTGTAATGTGTTTTATAGATAATATAAAGTTTTGTTATTTAGAAAGAATGTTAAGCAACTATGATTAGATAAGATATTACTTATTAGAAGGTTGGCAGTTCAAACCATCTGCTACAGTGCGTGGTTTTGTGCCACTGGAATAAAACCTATAAAATAAATAAGCAAATCACTGCAGCTGCTCTGTCAAAAATTAAGCCAGAAATGTTTTTGTTTAGAAAACACTGTGGCTCAATAAGAGTGTGTCCAATTTGTCCTGGTTTGGTCCTAGTTTGGTCCTGTTTGAGCCCAGTAGACTTGGTTAGGTCCTGTTCCACTCCTGGTTTAGTCCTGGTCTAGTTCTTGGTTTTGTCCGAATTTAGTCCCAAAGATCCTGTATTGCAATTTAATAATTAGATTTCATAATGTGACTTTGTAGTCATGGTGGAACTTAATACAATGCCCTAATACCAGTACTGTGTCCTTGAAAGTTAAGAATCTTAAACTTTGTATTTCTGTCGCTCATTAGTTCTTGCAGCCTCTTGCTTACTGTACTATAGTTAACAAGAGTCTGTACTATACCATTCATGCGGCCAACAAGACAAGACTTTGTGCTTTTTACTTAACAGCACTTATAATGTTCAGTTTCATATTTTAAAAACTAAATAACGAGTGATTGTCCTTTTGACTGGCGTTTGTAACAAAATACCCTTTCATTTTTGTGCGGATAAATAATAGCTTTTAATAAAACCACTTTATCAAATACACAGGCAACCCCAACACCATTTTGTGTTGAGTTTGGATCTACTATTATTCTTTTGAGCTTTAGTAGATTGCCTGTATTTCAGCCGCTGCAGAAATCAATTCGCCCATGAAAAATGAAATCAAAACAAACCCGATTTTTCATTGAGCTGCTGTATATTCAGTGAGTGATGGCCGAGTGAAAGGGAGAGAGCAAAATGAAGGATTTATTTTTACCAAAGTGATAAAGTAAGCCAATGTATATGTATATACTGTACCTCCAGCGTACGTCAATTATAATCATTTTTCCCCAAAAGCCTTAATAAGCAACTTTGTCCCCTCACTTTATGTTGCAATAACAGTTGACTCAGCTGTTTGGCTTTTTGCCTGGAGCCAGATTCTCACATAACACACAGTTTCTCTCCAGAGCAGTCACCAGGAGAACCACTGCATCAAACAGTAGCCACAAAAACACTAGCTTGAAATGTTGAGACAACCCAATAGTCATTCAAGTGGAGGATCTGACAGATTCATCAAACTCCTTTTGCCCTCAGATATTAAACAGTAATGCTGTTTTCATGCCGCTGCTTCTAGTCTCTCCTGTATTGTGGTTATATAATTGATGTAGTTCATAAATTAGCTGTGCTCTTATGTGAAGCCGTGTCTCTAGTGGGGCATTGTTCTGAGCCCATCTGACATTCATTTCTGTGATATTGACAGTTGAGGCTCACCGCGGGATTAGCTCTTCAATTTTCCAACAAATGTTTGCTCTGACAATTTCTTATAGTTCCCGGAGGCATCGCGCCAGAGTCACTCACCTTCACCCCGCTGGATGACATGATCTTCCTCAAGTGGGAGGAGCCTATTGAACCCAACGGCCTCATCACGCAGTATGAGGTGAGCTCAGATGCTGTTCTTAAATTATCAAACTGTCAACATTAAACATTAAGATTGTGTTAATTAATATGTTAAGATACAATGAATTAACTCATCTGCTTAGGGGCCCTAAAGTGGGGCCTGTGGGATACATTTAGCCCTTGAAAGTGGTTGATTTAGCCCACGGGAGGGTGTTGATATTGTATATATTTTGACTCATATATGCTGTGAATATACTATACTGTACTTGCCTGGAATGTTCCACAGCATGGCATTAAACTGTCTTGCATTTATTAAATAATGGGTGTTTTTATTGCTCAAAAATATATTGAAAAACTATTATTTTAAGTGGGGTTGCCTGTCCACAGATTTAGTTTGTAACTTGGCACTAGTTTGTTTGAATGAAATACGCTATTTTCACACTATTTTAGTATGCAGTTGTACTTTGGACAGTCCCCCCATGTAAATTAACAAGACTGTGTCAGTAAAGATAGTAGCTGTATTATTAACCAAATAGTTTTTCACCCTGAGACGAGGAGAGGGTTTACAATGGCAACCTAGAATGGAAGGCTACACTGCATTTTACCTCATACATTACTCATCCAAAACATATTTATTATAACAAGGCAATTATGAAGTGACACAGGCACGATGATTGCTATGGTCAGTGATTCACGTGCTTAGTGGTCTTGTTTGAGTAATAGTTTCATGCGCTAGTACACTGTTCTGAGGCGGTAGAACCACTGCCCAGCATGCTGCTCTCATGTGCATCGCCTCTAGGATATCATTAAATGGGATTTGTGGTCTGACATATGAAGTGGAGGCTGCACAGAGTTTTTACTCAGGAGTGTGTTGATCTCTCTCAGCTGACGGACAAAGCTTTACAGAGCGCTCTTCAAATCCCACCTACTTCATAAAGATTAAATCAAAGACCACTCTGCCTGAGCCCCCGTTGTCTGGACCACCCCCTGCTGCTCTGTGTGTGGTTGGCTTTTTAGAGGTCATGATCATAAGGTGTTTGCCAAGTGTGTTTCACAATTTAGATGGATTTTCAGCCACTACTATTACTTTTATATGTTATAATGAAACACTTGCTATGCTGTGCTTTAAGTTTAAGACATAAATGAAATTCCTTCTGTGCATTTGACCCAACCTTCAGTACTGCTGGGGCAATCTGTCAGGAGCAGTGAGCGACTGACATACAGTGCTTGAGGACCCACCTCTAGATCTTGAGCTTGGCTTGGTCAGGACCACCTAGCTGGAGGATTGTTAGTTCTGCATGTTTTAGGTTTAGGCACGGTTTGAATACAAGATAGAAATAAAATATTACTAATCTTCCAAAATACAAAAAAGATGTCATATTTAAACCAAGAACTGGTTATGTCTAAAGAACAATAAAGTTATATTTGCTCTTTTTGTACTTACTGTCCAGTCCTTCACTCAACATTTTTGTTATTTTTGGAGGTGAACTTTCACTCATTACAGAAACTCTCCTAGATGTTAAACACACAATTTATTATTTTGTCCTTGATCCTTCTCCAACTGTTCATAAATTCTTAACAAAAAATACCAAATAAATTTCTCTTCTGTTAATTAAATAGCTTGTAATTTTCAAAAAAATTTACACCCCATTTGAACTTCATCACAGTCCTGTTTATACAGTATTGTCCAGTAATAAGAGTGTATCTCCTCTCAAGGAGTAGAGTATGTCTCTAATGCCCTGCAGACCTTTCATAAGTCTTTTAAGTCCGGTATTCAAAGTGCTTATGAAAATATGTGTTGTTGTATGACCTTCCAGTGTAATCAGGTTCTATTCTTCTTACTAACATAAGAGCACATTATTTAAGTGCACGGTTTTGCTTTTTCATTAATCACTTCAATCAGACTTTTTTGTTGCATTTTATGACTAGAGCAATTTAGTGCTTAATAACCTCTGTTGATGGGTGTAAAAGTATGAAATAAATACCTGACTTGATGTGATCCTTTTAAAAAGTTATGGGCTGCAATAACAATGGAAGCATTAATGAATCCTAAAATGACTTTGACTTTTACAATGCAATTTTTATGTTGTTTTCCTCCCTCTCAGATAAGTTACCAGAGTATCGAGTCATCTGATCCGAGCATTAACGTCCCAGGTCCCAGAAGAACTGTCTCTAAACTGAAGAACGAGACATACCATATGTTCTCCAACCTGCACCCAGGCACCACCTACCTCATCTCTGTACGAGCACGCACCGGAAAGGGCTTCGGACAGACAGCGCTGACGGAAATCACCACCAACATCTCAGGTAATGGGGTAAAAGTCTTTGAAAAACCACCAAAGACAGAAAGATATAGTCTTCCCCATCACTGCCAGTACCGCTGTAGGCTTCATTCACTCTGTGCTATTACCAGGATGTGGATTTCAATCCTTTGACCTCAGCATCTTTCAACTCTCACTCAGGTAAAACCAGCTCCTCTAGTGTTAGAGCGAGTTTCTTGTGCCTTCTCAAACTTATGACACGCTGTCACTACTTGCCTCTCAACACATAAATTAAATCATAGGAAGCAGAGAAAGCGCTCAGATGGGAGTATACAGTACGGTTATGTATAAAGAAAGATGCGGTACGTACCTGGGACAGTAATGTCACTTCTGAGACTCTCCAAGCTTATTACCGCTCATACAAACGCAGCCTTGGAGTTTCTGTTGTCTTTTAATGATGCATTTGCGCTTGTTATGGGGATGGGATTACACCTCATAGGAACGCACACTCCCCCCTCTGTCACACAGTCCGTCTACCATGCACTCTCTGACCCCGACTCTCCACAAAAAGGCTTGCTTTGTTTAATTATAGATTTACTACATAATCTTTGAGTTTCTGGCTGCACATTAGACGCTCTCTGGCACAAAGCCCACTACAGACAGAGCACAGAAGTCTTTATGCATAACGCTCCCGTACTGGCCCTCACTCCACAACATTCACTTACACTGAATGTCTTTCAAATGGGCACTGACAGCAGGCAAACAGTGAACACCTTGAGCAGCCACTACTGTCAGCATCTTCAAGAGCGATCCTCACTGAGCAGCAGAAACACACATTTTCATAAAAGTGCTCTCGTATACAGACTGTGTCCTATTGGGATCAACTTCTCAGCACGCATCATAACCATTTTAGCATCTGATGAGGTACAAAGAAATCTGTGCAGAATGCTAACGTCAACTCACGCTAAGGTCCTATTTGGAATGTACCTACCTTTCTACCTTTTGCATAGGAAATATTGTTATTTCACAGTTTATGTGTCAGTGGAGTCATTATTTTGCAGAGATATATTATCACGCCAACTCCCCTGAGATCAATAAGAGTTTGACCAAATCTGTTTTAAAATACAAAGTTCAGCTACACGTCACATTCATAACTTTTAATTAGACCTGTATTAAAAACTAGAGTAGTTGTCCTGAGAATACGCTAATACTCTTGGTTATACTTGGGGGCTGGTTTCAGTAAACACAATGCTCCATCAGTTTCATTAGACCCAGTGGCCCTGAGTTTACATTTGGAAAAACAAAGTTGCCTGCAGCCTGAGCTGAATCAGGTGACCTCAAAGGAATATATCTTCATTTGTGGGCTAAAATTATATCTGACATAAAGTGTGTATCTCTGTTTGTGTTCTCAGCTCCCACGTTTGACTATGGAGACATCCCCTCCCCCTTGGGCGAGACAGAGAGCACAATTACTGTGTTACTGAGGCCTGCTCAGGGGAGAGGTGCCCCTGTCAGGTGAGCAAAGGATTTCATAGAGTTGTATTCTGTTTGTTACCTACGTCTTACATGTTCACCCTTTGTGTTTAGCACCTACCAAGTAGTGGTTGAGGAGGAAATGGTGAAGAAGGTGAAACGTGAGCTGGGGCACCAGGACTGCTTTCCTCTGCCCATGTCCCACGGTGAGGCCCAGGCCCGGGGCACGCCGCATTACTACACAGCTGAGCTTCCCCCCAGCAGCCTGCCCGAAGCCAGCCCCTTCACTGTTGGTGACAACCACACGTATAACGGCTACTGGAACACCCCTCTGGATCCACGGAAAAGCTACCTGGTCTACTTCCAGGCCATGAGCAACTTCAAAGGGGTAAGTGACTAAAGAGCAGTAGCATTCTAACTGAGTGATTTCTATGTTCACAGTTTCTGAAACTGAGGAAAGAAGCCAGTACTCTTGGTGTTAGTCTTAAACCTGCACTATAGAGAAGGCTGCTGCAGATATACACTACAGTGTGTATCACTGCAAGCTCAGGGGAGATATTTTGCTGTGATGAGTCTGAAAAGGGAGAAGCCACTCTTTATGTCAGCCCCAAACCTGAATAACAGGTCATTTAATTAGGCTAAGAATTTATTCAGTTTAGGAGGCAGAGATTAGCTCTGATGGTCCCTATGGTAAAAAGACTTCTTGTGTTAGGATTTATTATGGTGCTGTGATATCCTATTAAAACATAATTGGCAGGTAAATGGAAACAGCATTTGACTACTTAGAAATTGTGTTTTTTATATTTCAGTTTTTTTATTTCTTGAAGGCAAATGACTTATGATTAATGCCTAAGAGCTATTAAGGCAGTGATTCTTCAGCATTAGCCAACAGCATACTTCATTTGTGTTTTCTGGATGTCTGGCCAGTGTGTTTTGTGTTGTTCATTGTTAATCATTTCATTGTGCTTACATGATGGAAAACTGCACAGCTTAAGACCCCAAGTTAACAAGTAAACCCAAGGGAGCATATGCCAGTTCTAGCTCTACTCTATTTGTAGCGTGACAATAACAATGAAATCTAATTAAACCAAATCCCAGACTTTTTTTTTCATTCACATTTTCAGCACAAAATTCCCAGTGGTCCATTTATTCTCACACCACATTAGCTTCTCATACACGATTACGTCAGGGGCTTCTACCTGGACCCAACAATTACTCTGAGATAAGTGGACACAGGTGCAGAAACACAGCTGGACAAAGCCGTGCTCTCGTATCAATGCAACAATCACTGACTACTTTATGAGATACTCCTCCATGTTATTTTGTGACATATTTGAGTATCTACTGCCTTTCTATTATCTCACATGGACTTTCTCCTCTGGCTTTAATACATACTAGAGTAATTATTTTTGCCTGACATGCACATAATTTTTTTCTTTGTTAGTACAATTACTTTTTGTAAACTCTGCAAGCCAAATAATTGTATGTAGAAGGTTTTTTGTTAAATTCCCAAGCCTTGTTCAACAGATAAGTTCAAAGTGACTCAGATTCACTTTCTTCTCCGTTCTGATGCTTGATTTGACTTGTATTACTGAACAGAGTTGCCTTGGGCTCTGCTGCTGCTTTGCTACACACAAAGATGTTTTCATTTACAAGCATTTGAACAGGTGTACTCAATGAAATGGCGAGTGAGTATGTGATGGGTAATCTCTGGAGCGCACACCAGTTAATTCCCGTTGTTTTGCTGTTTCCTGATTTAGAATGTCCTGTATTTATTCAAAGGTACAAGGCTGATGTCATCGTATCATCTTTTTTCCGATCCGTTGGAGAAACACATGTAGACACTGCGATGTGTGCACTTCACACACAAGGCTGCTAAGCATAGGATTAGACTGTGAATGCCCAGCTTTACCAACGGAAGGGATTTGGTTTTGTTTAGTGTGGCAGGGGGCCAGGGTCCACAATAACTGAAGCACAATAAGTACAGCACATAGCCAAAGCGCACAGCCCACACTGGCCCTGGTTTTTTGGACACAGAGTCGCCGCCACTGGTCAAATCTGGGCATCAGTCCTGCCTGTTCGTGTGGCTCTACCTCATTAGGAAATAGTCCTTGGCCAGAATAGTAGTAACTTAATTTTGTTTAATTATGTTAATAAATTAATCTACTCCTGTTGTTACACTTGGATATTAGTTACTTGCACCAACTTTTTTGGACACAATGCATTCTTTCAAACTGTAAAAGATGTCGATTGCAATTCATATTGATTTTACAGGCATAATGGCTGAAATTATGAATTGATTTAATCTATTTCAAAAAGGTTGCTGTGTATTTTTTTATTTATTTATTACATGGTGCTGTACTTTGTGATCCAGATTGTTGTAAGTGATACTTATTACTGAAGTGAAAATACTGTTCCATTGGAAATATGCAGGCCAGAGTGGTCAATGGTCAATATGTTGGCCATTTTGTAAATCACTATCACCCAAAAATGACCATATAAAATAACTTTAAACTCTATTTCAGCTCTGTTTAATAAAAAAATTGTCATCTGGTCAGCCCAAGCAAAGGTCAGTCTATCTGAGCTTTAAGGCCAATAGCCAATACGCTAAATAGTTAAATATCTGCCAACCTTTCTTGTACCTTAATAAATCTTTATTGTTCTCTTAAATGTTAGTAGAGACATCTATGAGGTGTATCTCAATCAACACCTTGCCAATATCGCTGAGCACTTGCAGCCATGAATCAGATCAGATGTGTGTTGTCACTGGTACCTGCTCTATTTTAGCTGCGGTGAATAATGGACCAGTCTGTCTTAATGTGCCACAGCTTGTAATAATGAGTAATGCAGGTGTCTCTTAGCAGGAGACAGCTTCCAATGAATCAGCTTTTTGATGGAGAGATGGTCACATATAGTAATTGTTTCGAGTCAGCATTTCTCTCCCCACAACCTGCTTTACAAATGCAGCCTTGGAACCGAATACACAAGCACTAGATATTTCAGTCATGTAGTTTAATAATTAGGATTTAGTCAATTTAGTTTTGTTTACTCTCATAGACAATTAGTTTAGAAATTGCTAATTAAAAGTAAAAGCTATTATAATAATTACATGGCAAGTTGAAAATGCAATTTAGCAAGTTGTGAATAGCACCCTTTACTTATTTTCCAAGTAGTGACATTTACATAACGTTGCCTTAATGCATGAATTAACATCTGTAAATCTCTATAAAATGATTAGGTTTTTCTCAATGCAATGACAAACTGCTGTCTTCATATTTGGCGCTCATTAGCAAATGTTTGACACAAGTTGTTTTCATCACATTGAGAGATTTGGAATTTTGAAAAGTGTTTATTTATTTATTTAGGTGTTAAAATCTTTTAATTAGACTCATCTTTCTTTAGACTCATCATTCCTCCTCAATTATAAAATCACTTTTGTAATGAATATAATGAATAGATGGACTGTAACTCTTCAGGTAGAGGGTCTCTCAAATACTTTCTCCATAGAACTTTTATTATTTTGACAGGAATAGTCCACAGTATGGCTTTAAACATATCTATATTCATGGAGACAATCAGACGCCATCAGGCCAAGTTATAGGTCAGATCTGTGGAGAGACGATACACTGCACTGTAAATTTGTCTCTTTTGAGGAATTTTTGTACATTAAAAATACGTGTTTGATGGAAAGATGTTTAATGCCATACTATGGAACTTTACAGGCAAAGCAATAATCTATAACAAGCAGGTGGCAGATCTTTCACCAAAAAAGTTCCATATTGTGCCTTTATTTATTATACAGTCAGTCCTTTTGCTTTGGAGTGAGCCGTGACTGTGGTCCAGCGTTACCTCGTGTTTATGTCTCTGGAGTAAAAATGCTTTATTGTGTATTCTGAACATGTTTTATCTGCTTTTCACAGTGATGTATGTGTACGTCTTGCTCAGTATTTCATGTCACCTCCTTTTCTTTTATCACATCTCCTTTATGCAAAAGTGACACGTCCCTCTGATGTCTGCGTTCTTTCTCTTTCAGGAATCCAGAATCAACTGCATTCGAATCGCTCGCAAAGGTAATGCCACATGAATATTTCTACTTCCCTCCCTGACCTTGATGCATTTTCAGCACCACATCTCTCCTGTTGTGCTCCGATAAAATGTAAAAACGCACTGTTATGTTTATGCCTTCTGTATTTTTTATTTTGTGGTGGACATTTCTGTGTGCTGGTCCCTGTTGTTTGGACCCAAGGGAAAAGGGCAGTACACAGGGAGGGAGTAGAGGTCACTCTTTCATCCCGTGTGCCAGGAGCAGATGCCGGGTCACTATATATCAAAGCCCCTCTCTTTGTTCTCATCAGTCGCACACAACACAGTCATCTAAAAGGCTTCGACCTGTGCATTTCCACAAGGGTCCTCCACATCAAAACTTAGACCCGCCGAGCGACCACATCCTATCACTACAAGAAAACTCGTGCTGCTCTTGTGTGCCCTGGCGTTGCTATTCAAAAGCACTTGAAAAGGGCAGGGAAATTGACTCTAAGTCCTGGTGGCAGCGAGCCCCCCTGCCATAGAGCTCTGTCAGATTAGGTTGAATAAAAGTATGTATTTATAGTTATCTTAGCACTGCTACAGTAAGCTCGGCCTGCTGAGCAAATTGACTCTGCGCTGTCTTTTATTTCCTCATGTGACGGACTCTTTTTGTGTGTGCAAAATGAAAGAGATGAGAACCAGACGGCAAGGCCAGCCTTTTAGCTCCGCTTCTGTCTGCCCACTTGGTCAATGATTAATAATGTTTCTTCTGCCTTCACTTTCCTCTTGACTTTCCCTTTGATGCTATAAGAAGTTAGATTTGAAAAAAAACAAAAAAACATATGAACTATTTGGTTTATTTGTGACAACATTACAAAACATTTTGAGAAAAGAAAGGTGGAAAAATACTAGGATGACATCATGTACACTGCCTGGGTGATCCAACATGAACCACCAGAAAGCCTAATGAAAAAAATGCTTGCGTGATTTCCAATTTCAAGGTGTGAGGTCACATGTTGCTGCTGCTGTTTGTGATCTGCGTGATCCCTCTACCATTAACATGGTGGCGCTGCAGAGCCGTTATTATCCAGCAGCACATCACAGGCAAAGTGGAGGCAAATGATGGTGCCTGGGATAACAAAGCTGGAGATTACATTTCAACTTTGAGGTGACAGTTTAATTAAGGATCCTCCAGCAGGCTCACCACAACAATAGACTTCCATTTCTCTTCTAAGTGCCAATTTCCAGCGTTGGACAGTTGGCAGGTGCATGGATTCATGTGGAAATCTATTTCATGCTCATGTTGGGCTTAATAGAAATTTCGGGGCTAAATGTGGCAAAACCGCCTTATCTGTCGCCAATGTGAGAGAAGTGAAATTGATTTTTCACCTGCTCATCTGCATTATGTGCCTTTATAAGACCCTTCTGCATTCACTTGAACATCTCAGTTCATTACTCATTTTCAGTGTATTAGGCCAAAAAGCAAACTGCTACTTACATTACATTACTACATGTTGACCCAACTCAAAACATTCTGATGTAAATGTAATGTTTACACTTTTTAAAAATGATTTTTTCAAAGCATCCTTGCAAAGTTTCATGCATTAAAATATTCAATGATTATTTAAAAAAAACAAAAACAAAACAAAAAACAACAACTTAAAACTAAGCTTTATTATGAGCATACTTTATAATGTCCCCCAACACATTTCTTCTTTTTAACCTTAAGAAACTGTAGCAAAAGTTGTTGGAAAATTCATTGTTAACATGAAAAATAAATATATAAATAATAATAATAATAACACCTACTCTTGTTGTCCAACTTAAAGCCATATTTGGGAGCGGCTGATAATCCCCTCCAACTCCTCAGGCAACAGACAGTTAGGCTACAACATGGTGTATTTTCATTTTTCATTGCCCCAGATCTGATTGTAGCCCATCCGGTTTCTGTATAGCTCTGTGTCCCGGGGCTGGCTCTGACTTTCCCTCACCCTGCAGAGACAGCTCCTATTGGACACAGTAGGACGAGCTGACATCCACACACACACACAAAAACTAGATCAGTGGGCCCCCAGAACAAGACAAAGAGAGCCCCAGTCCTCGACAGCATTTACATAAGTATAAAGCTTTACTTCAACGAAATGAATAACCTGCTATTATGATAACGACCTTTTCCAGTAGCTCTCAGACACTCGGGCACCTTGAGATTATACCAGAGCAGAGGACGGATGACTTGAGTGCAGAAAAATGAAATGTAATACAATATATTGAAAGAAATTGCGTTGCAAAACGGGTATGTGATTGACCGTGGCATAACAATGTAGATTTACAAGTCTGCAAGGTCAGTTTGCCGCTGCATATCAGTATGAAAGATTAACAGAGGTAAATTCAACCATAAATATATTCTGTGTTTATTGCACTTTATCTGCTGCCAGCTCAATACATTTTTACTCCTGCTGCATAAAAGATATTTTAACACCGCTTGCTGATGTCTGTAACTATTTACAATACCCCAAAGAGAAAGACTATTTTCATGTAAGCTCTTAAATGCATTATCTGACTTCAGCATGAAAATGTTTGCAGTTATTAATAATTTTACTAATATCTACTCTATATCGATGCAAAGTACACATCCATGGCCTTTTAGTTAGTACATTACCTATATTCAATTCTATCCGTGGGTTTAAGAATGATGGAAAATTAAGACCACAGCAGTGAACAATATAAAGCTAAATATTTTTAGTTTCTGTCTGCTGTAACAGAAAACTGAATCCCATTAACGTTAACACACTACAAAAACAGACAACATAAGTATTAATAAAAATACAGTTAATTTTGTTAATATGTGTTAATAATGGTGAGTTAGTCTGAATTGTTAGCTAGTGTTTCTGTTGTGTTTCCTGTTTGTATATCCTCTTTTTCCAACATATTTTCTGTGTGTAGCTGCTTGTAAAGACCACCGTAAGGCCATGGAGGTGTCTCAGAACTCTGAGGAGATGGGCCTGATTTTGGGGGTCTGCGCGGGGGGCCTCATCGTACTCATCCTGGTGCTCGGCGCTGTCATCATCATCATAAAGAAAGGGTAAAGTCTCTGATGCCTCTCGTCACATCACGCCTCATCTCTGCTTTTACTTCTAGTGGAACAGTTCGGTCTTTACCCCAGCTGAACTTTCTCAAAGGTCATGCTTGTTTTGGAAAGAGGCCGCACCAGCAACAGCCATCGCAATGTTTTCATTCTCCCATGGTGCACCACCAGAGACCAAACAGCTCTCCTCTGCAGAGCTTATCTGAGTGTGAAGTATTTAATTAAAGGCGGATGCAATTCAATTAGCCACTTAATTACGCACAACAAGCTGCAGCCTGACCCTCAAATGAGATGGTAATTAGGAGGGAAAAGGTGTACTTTTAAAGATTATTAGTCACCGCTCCCTCAGGTTTCCAGGAGATCATCTCTACCTCTGACTCTGCATTCATTTAGCATGTGTTAGCAGGCAGCGCTCTCTGACATGTGAATGAGTCTTAAATACACTGTGCACAATGGCAAACAGGACATTATTTGGGGTCCTTTGGTTCATTAACATACAGCTGATACAGCACATAGACTGCTATTGAACAGTGTTGATTCTAAAGCCACCTATAGCTCTGCACATTAGCCCTCGACTAGCCAGCGAGGAAGTTCTCTCAGAAAGAATTGATTTGTAAATTTGCTGTGACAGGAAGCCACGTGGCTTGGTCCTTGGAAGTGTAACACTGAGACATTTTCGATTGAAGGAAACACACATTTTTTGCCTAGCTGTGGTTTGGTCTGTCAGCACCTGCTTGGAACATTTGCTTGTGTCGTATAGCAAATGGCACAACCAGGGCTGCTTCTCATTTTCATTGTAATCAATGCATTCTGCCCTCAGCTGACATTGCTTTCATCTTACACCTTTTCTTCTTTTCTCTTGGTTTTATCCTCTCCCACTGCACTCTGCCAGGAGGGACTACTACTCTTACTATCCGTAAGTGACTCCACCTCTTCTCCTCTCCATAGTTTTGTGATCATGTACATCCTCTGGCTTTGGCTTTTCAATCATCAAAAACCAAATAGAATGTCAGATGTGTGGTCTTTTGAGTTATTGAATTGTGGTGTAGCTCTCATTGCATAAATTATATTATAATTTCATACCAGTACTTGGGGTTTAGGATCTAAACATTTTATGTGGTCTTCAATACATTTTAAATAAATAGTGTTATTTGCAGACTGGCTGCCTGTGTAAATAGTGTCGACTTGAGCTGCTGCTGTCTGTGTTTGCAGTAAGCCTGTGAATAAGACGCCCATCACATACCGACAGGAGAAGAGCCACATGGGCTCCATGGAGCGCAGTTTCACAGACCAGAGCACTCTGCAAGAGGATGAAAGGATGGCTCTCTCCTTCATGGACGCACACACCTGCGGCACACGCAGTAAGACAACAGTACACACAGTCTACACACACAACACACACAGCACCACTCAAAATCACTCACACAACCATCTCAGAGCTGACACATATCATTCCTCACTTTGTAATTCTGTAGACTCTAGCTATACTACTTTCTGTGTGTCTGAAATACTTTGAGCAATAGTTATCATATAGTACATAGGGGAAGGTTTTGTAAGTCTCTTGTCTCTCTTGCCTACAGCCTCTTGTACAGCCTACAGCCATCACCAAGGTATTAAATGAATGTAATGTGACTTAGGTGATGCCCGTAGCTCTGTGAATGAGGCCAGCAGTCTGCTGGGCAGCTCCCCGAGGCACCATTGTGGAAGGAAAGGCTCACCCTACCACACAGGACAGCTGCACCCGGCTGTGCGTGTGGCTGACCTCTTGCAACACATCAACCAGATGAAGACTGCGGAGGGCTACGGTTTTAAACAGGAGTATGAGGTGAGAGAAAATGCTCAGTGTTTGGTCTCTTTGAATGGAGTGTGTGCTTGTCCTTGAACAAAACACTCATATCAGTCATAATTCATTAGAAAAATATCAGTTGTTGCTCTTAAGATTAAAAAGAAGTCATATTAAAAAATATGTATATATTAAATTTGACAGATTGCATCATCATGTCATGGTTAACTTTGCTATTTAGGCTGGTAGCAGTGAAAGGTATGTTGTAAGTGGAGAGAATACTGCTCTACTTCTTGTGAGTTCACAAGGTAAAGGTGGGTCAGCGCTGCAGGAAAGCGTGACCTTAATTGGCTTTTGTTGTTAGAGTGAGGACGTATCTGAGTCTTAGTAAATCTTATACAAACGCTTTATGAGCCCAGAGCCTGCCCTGTAACTGTCTGTACATTTGTGATTTAACTAAACCTTTGAAACATTTTATGACACCCTACAATAACAGATGATGAATTTCACTATGTAGAAGTGATGTTCAATGTAAACACTTTATTAAATCCTATTAAAATAGATAAGTGGTCAATGGAGTTTTCATGTTTTTTTGCAATTAAACTTAATGGTTATTGATTTTTGCCTAGGATTTAAAAATGCTTTTAAAAAGCTATATTCTGACTAAGGACTGGCACTGACACAGGAGCTTCTGTAGCTGGATAAAAAAACGATGTCTTGATAATGATTAAAATAATGAACTCAAACTGATATAATCACTGAGGCGAATTGAAATTTTGAAGTACTACTTTGGCCTAAATTCATCAGCGAGAAAGATTTGAGATTGTGAGTAACATTGTCATTCAGGAAGAGATTGCATCTTATAACGCCATCAATCCTCCTCTTAGTTCTCCATGTGCCCTCCATGCCACCCACAGACTGTAATTAGCCTGGTTAAAAGGCATCTGGATGGCACTTTTGCTTAACGTATGAATTAATCATCTCATTTGGGCCAGACGAGGACCTCTGTCATGGCCGCCAGCCTGATGAGTTTTAACTGTAGGCTCCTTGGCTGCAATAGTTTGTGCCAGTGTCAGATTCAGTACTATGCATATAAAGTGTGAAGGCTGTAAAAGATCATTATGAGCTCATTAGGCACGCACTCTCCAGTTAATCCATTGATAACTGATGATTTTACTTCACCATCCTTTCCTATTACGATCTCTTTAGACCCGTATACAATGCTGCCATTCCTATTTTTCACATGTTTGCTTTTGTACGCAGGGCAATCATTGCTATATTGACTATTCATTGTCTGTACATGTATTTTCTTTAGTAGGTATCCTTTTGTTAAGCACCACTATATAACTTAAGAGCTGTACAGATGGAAATAATGTCAGTTCATTGTAGCACACATTCAAATAATATTACCAGAACTTTGTATTTAGTCTGAATTATTATTTTATTTCAGATAAGAATACAATTAAAGTAAATTTAAAATGCTTGGAATTCTGTTTTGAAGACTACTTGACCCAGAATGGTCTGCAATGTTATAGTTTACCAGTAAGAGCCCTTTCAAGCCCTTTTAATTTAGCTAAACATTTGCTATTATTTCTGACAAAATTGTTTGGAAAAAATGAATTACTTTTGACAACCTCTTTGGTTATAAAATGAAATACAAATATTGGTTGACAGTATTTAGACGGCTGCTCCTGCTGCTGTCCCATGTTGCACCATTGGGGTCTATAATGAGTGTCCCAAACGTCTGAAAGGCTGTTCCCAGTGGAGTGGCTATAGCTGTGTGCTGGATTCTCAGTGGGACAAGTCCATTACTCTCGCCTGTGGCATTCATAAAAACACATCTTTTGTCTCTGTAGCACGGTTTCCCTCTGGATCTCAGCTTGCAGACTCATTAAAGTGTCGCTCTCAGGCAAAACTTGCTCCACTCAAGAAAATCAATACACACTTCTTTTTGTGTTTTCCCCTTTTTGGCCATATATTTTCGATTGTCTGTCTTTCTATATTATGAAGCAAAATGAAGAAGCCATATCATGTTACTATCTCTTGACAGACCTATAGTTTTATTTCCCTCGAGCGTTCCTTTGTTTTGTGGAACACTGATCAACAGTTTATATAGGTGCTTGTACATGGCAGCTGCTGTCACTACACTAGCACATGGACTAATAAATAAATAATACTTTAGTTTAGTGGCAAATTATGAGCTTCCTTTAACGGCTTGACCTTGCAATAGGGTTCCAGTTAATTCTTATACATATTAATATTAATTGGTTGATATATTTTTTTAAAAGATGCTAATATCAGTTTTTGTGTGATACTTGAACCTCAACTATGAATTCATATCTAAAGATATTTAATAACTACATATGCAGTTTATTCATGCTTTGAAATGGCACATGACCCTATACTGTATTATATGACTGGAGTCTAGATAATGCACACACAGACAAGTAATTGTATAGTACTTATTTTCCATTATCTAACTTAGCTTGTTTACAACTTCATTCCCCTGCCAAGGTCACAAACTCAACAAAAGATGGTATCGCTGTGTTCACCAAACTCCTCTTATATCGGCTGTAAACATGTCTGTTTCTTGACATGTTTCCCCTTGAGTCTTTATCCTGTTCCACATCAGTCTTCTGTCAAGGCACACGACAGCACATGAATTAGTTATGGTCCATATAAACATCTACAAACAAAACAATATATACTCTCTCAAAGTTATTTCTTGATCTTGTTGTAAAAGAAATTTGAATGCTATATTTTTAAATTAGAAGAAGAAAGAGTGGCTTAATTTTATGCTCAACTGGACTTGAAGTTTATCAGCTATGACTCTAACTTTTCAACAGCACTACAGCATAATTGAATGTATTTTTTGTAACCGTTTAAACCCATAATGGCGACAAGTCAATTTAATCATTAACACCCAACATTTTATGCACTATCTACTGTGGAAATTATAGGATATTTTGAGGCTTTTCCCAACAGAAAACAGAGCAAAAATACATGTACTATTCAAATGAGGAGCTGATTTTGTTTCTGTCCCTTGTCCCTGGAGTGTGACAGTTTAGGACAGAGCAGAATTCTCTTAATCTCATTTGAGTTATTTGTGTGATCCTCTTAACCCTCCCACCCTCACAAAATGGCTTTCTTAGTTTAAACCTCCTTTGTGGACTGCTTCATGATTTTGTTGTGATTTTGTGCATGTTTGAGTTGGTAAATCCTATGTATTAAAAATATAGATTTAGGAAGGTTTGGATGAAAAGTTTTAGGCAGGGACTCAAACCCCAAGATGAAGAACATGGAGGAGAATAAATTGAGAAGAAATGTCTAATCCCGCGCAGGATTTGGATGGTTCTTGGCTCTCTGTTGGGAGGGCTCTGTTGTAATCCCCTTCCCAGCATGCACTTGACAGAGTTTCTCAAAATTCTCCCATTGGCTGAAAAGGACACAGGAGGTAGACTGGTTCGGTATACTTCCCTGTTTCTAAAATGGATGTTTAAGTCTTAATTTAGCCACCTGCCGGACACCGGTGGGCACCCATCACTGCCCAAGAAGACAGGTGTGAGAGGAGAAGACAGAGAGCGATGGTTTATATCTGTCAGTGCAGACCCAAAAGAGAAAATATTCTATTCAGATTCACTTGGAGACACCGGTGACTTTCATTTCACTGTTACAACTGCATGATTTAGATTTCCATATATATTACCTAACATTTTCATTCAACGCTTCGCGATAGACTTCTAAATATGGAGCTTAATCATCGCATCATCAAAAATTCCCATGCTCTTCCCTGACACAATGAGTAAAACAACCTCTGTGATTCTCTACAGTTGAGTCACCTCAACATCAGTGTCTATTTATAGTCTTTCAATGGAGTCTAAATTCTACTAGACACTGTAATACCTGTATCGTCCATTGCTTTCAGTCACAGCCTTTTTGTATCTGAACTAATATCTCCTAAGCCATTCATTTAAATGCAGTCTCTCTCCCCTACTTCTTTTCTGCCGCAGCAGTAGAATGATCAGTCACCTCAGCCTCTCCATACCTTCTTCTTCTACCTCTTATAGGCCCACAGACTCCATTCTGTCTCTCCAGTCGCTCCTTTCAGTTCAGTCTTCATATTAAAGTTTTCTACATTTTGTTTTGTTTTATGGTTGATATTATGAATCATGGAATCAATACTAAAATTTGAATGGAAACTAGATAGCCATGTGAACTTTAAAAGTACTTTTTTTATTTTTTAGAGAGATTTTTAAAAATACAATTGTGATTCTGACAGACTGCAATTTATATTGAGATTTTGTCCTTAGTATAAAATGTGTGTTTATGTGTAAAAGTTTATGTTTACAGTGATTCAAGTGTGTGTTTTTTCCAAGTGTTTGATGGTGAACTAAGATTTACTGTGATGCTAAAACAAGCCTGTTACATCTTCACAGAGCTTCTTTGATGGTTGGGATTGCACCAAGAAAACGGACAAAACACAGGGAAGACACGACACTCTGTTGGGATGTGAGTCTACATTCACACATGTACCATGTACAGGTTTGTTGTATGCTCTTGAACTTATTCTAATGATTCTTTCTCCTTTCTCCCAGATGACCGTCACAGAGTGAAGCTGCACCCTCTTCTAGGAGATCCAAACTCTGATTATATCAACGCTAACTACATTGATGTAAGTCAAAACTTTTTATCAACCAGTTTTATCAACTTATGTACAGTACTCATCATACACAGTCCACCTCAGCCCTTCAGACCACTGGCCTGCTCTCATCTTGTGCTCATCCAGATCGGACACCCTCCTGTCTGCCCACACAGATGCCATAGGCCCTACTTCTCTGACCCAGACTGGTGCCTTTTATTAAACCTCAGAGGAATAAATGCACTTTAATGTCTGAGTACAGAAATGAACCCCTTTGAGAGATGACGCAAATCCTTTTAAATGAATAGAGCAGACTGACACTCTTCGGTCTGATGGGTCACAGTTATGTAAACGCCAGTTGCACTCGAGGAGCTACAGCTCAATCTGATTTGGTGAAATCATTTGGTCAAAATCAGGACCTAACCCTCAAAATCCCATTAATATTTCCAATGTCAGATTTTGTGTTATTAAATCAAACACAACAAAACATCAAAATCATACCAACCACATCTAATGTAAATGGTCCTTAAAATTCCTGTTACAATATTGTAATGCCCTTTCTCAGTTGTAAATATGCTATGACGCATTTATGTGCTGTGATCCATACAAGCTGATCTGCTCTGTGGCCTTTTGTTTGTTTTGCTTGTCATGTTTCACCACTGGTGCTTGATTTTAGTCATTAGCAGCAAGTTGATGATTTGCTTTTGATGGCTTTTGTCGAATAAATATACTCCAAGTTTAGTGTGAGCTTTTAAAGTGGTTATGAATATTGTTTAAAAATAAGATAATATGATAGGACATTACTCATAGGACCATTTGTGTAAACATAACTTGACTTCACGCTATTCCATTCATTTGTTTCTGAGTGCAGAGCGGTCAGTGTGGAGATGCTTTTAGAGTGCGTTAAAGCGTAGCCTGCTGTTAGTGCGCTTGCTCTGGAGCAGGTGTCAGACCCAGAAGTGCAGCATTAACAGAAACACTACTCAACGTGCCACTGCCCTGTCACTGACTGTCATTGTTCTCCCACCCAGGCAACAGGGCCCCTGAGTGTACAAGTGTCTACAGCATATAATTAGGCAGCCTAGGTGAAATCACAAAGTTTTTTAACCTTTGAAAACATTAAAAATTAATAATAATGCCTTAGCTACCACTTGACTGCCTCTTCCTACGGTTTTTTACCAGTCCCAGCTGCAGCTAAACAAATAGGGAAATGGCTCATTTGACACAATTATTTCGCTTTTAGATCTTAGATCTTCTCTTTTTATATAAAAATTATATTTCTCTACGCTGGAGCTAGAAAGCCACACTTTTGCATGCTGATGTACCGATTAATGGTGAGCAATTTGTCTCATGAAGTCTGCAGTGGTTGGCCTATGCTTTTTCCAATATCAGTTGTAATGCTGATTTATTCTTCATTACAAAACCATTGGAAATGAGAGCTAAGTTTTTAATTGTAGTCATTTCATATTTTGGTCTTCAAGATGAGTATCCAATAAGATGAAAGCACACGAGTCTCAAATTTTTTTCATTTGAGTTACCACTTTTTTTTAAATCAGAATGAGTGCAGACTACACATCCTACCTGGTGAATAACATACATGCAGACCATTTCTAGGAAGTAGTTTTGTATGTAGTTTTTTGAAGCCCCTTTGTATGAAAATGTCCAGACGTACAAAGTGCTTTTGACATGAATCAGAACATACTCAGCACCACCATACATACATTTACATACAATACATTTATTTGGATAGTACTTTCCAAAGAGAGCAGAGGCGCACAGCTCTTCAACATGTCTCTAACTACATCACCAGAGCTTCACTAAAAGCTTCTTTCATTAACTAGCCTATATGTCTTCTCTCTCTATCCCTCCTCTCTTGTCCTTGGACCCTGTAGATTCGGATAAACAGGGAAGTAAGTACTGCTCCTTACTCTGCCTGCCATCTCTATTATTTGCTGTCCCTTTCTCCTCTGCCCGCACCCCTTTACGTTTATCCTCTCTGCAAGGGGTCAGAGTTTAGAAGATCTGTGTTCACAGAAAACAGTAATGTGGAAAATAATGAAATAGCCTACTGCCATTTTAACTAATCTTAAATAAACACACTAGTCTGGTAGTTTTTAATTGGGTCAGTGCTGGATGGTAAGGGCCAGAGGGACGGTCTGCTGTGACTGGTCAGTTAACATGATGAAGTTGAAAAGTAGTGTAATGATTTATGATAAGATTGGGGTTAGGAAAATGTGTTTTTTGAGTACGGTAGTTAACTTTTTAGCAGCAGTAACTTTCAAAAACAAATGTGTCGCCTTATCTCAACTTGCACCATAAACCAGAACACTCAAAAATATAACATAAATATAACAGTTTAAGCCAGTTCACAGCAGGTTCGCACGTCACTTCCGTCCCTCTGGAGCTGATTATCTTTTTCCGACCTTTGATTAGTTCTCAAGAAGTTCAGTTTCCATGGCGACTGTTGGGAATGATGGAGGAGTGGTGTTAGTTAGCTTTGATGCTGCATATCACTGGTCACGCCTCCCCATCGAAACCATTCACCATTGTCTTTGTATGTGTACGCTAAGCTCTCCAGTTCATCAGCAGTTTAGAGTTGGCCACAGACAAGATGAAAGCTGTTATCTTATTAGATGGTTTACTTAGATATTGTTTGCTGTGAAGTCCTCAGTTAGCAGTGTCATATAAGGTAATAGACTATTCTCTTTATGTCTGATGTCTTGTGGTTCATGTAAACAGCTGGATCATACCCTTTAAATGTGAGCGTTTTCAGGAATTCCCTAGAGCTGTTTTGCCTGGCTTGAACTGCCATCGCTTTTAAAGATCTTTTGTTATCCCTTTAAGGCTTTATTATACATGTCATTGTTTATTTCATGTTCACGTCATGCATAGCATATGAAAAGTCTGTTTGTGTTTCAAAGGCTGTCACATGTAAAGATGCTCACACGCTATTATCAAGCGCCTGAGGGAATCTGGAAGTCTACTTTTAGTTTTAGCATGGAAGAAGCATTAACTTTTAGTACACATTTGGTTGGTAGACCTGTACATATATCAGGCATAGCATTACTATTGATGTTTGAAATATACATGCAGTGAGTATATTTATTATCTTCTATCACATCAGACTCAAAAGTCTTTTAATGTCATTGCACAAGCTGCGCAGTGGTTCTCAGTGAAATCACTCATATAAGACATAATAAATTACTAGATAAATAGCTTAAAAATAGATCAAAACTACCCCAAGCACATTGTCACACTGTAAATAGTTCAGTTCTTTGATTATACATAAATAATAACAGTTTGTCAGTCTTGAAGTGTGGCTCTTTATATTTTACTTATTTTATTTGTTTATCTGACAGACTACTGTATGAATGGTTAAATTATGTAATGTAAAGTCATTTTTGTATCTATCACATCAAATACCATGTCTTAAAGTTAGTTATAAAACATTGATCACTAATACACAGTAGTGCTTGGTGCAAACAACAGAATGGCACAGTGGTCATGTGGGACAGGACAGAGCGCAGACAGAGAAAAGACAGTGACACATCATGTTACAGCTGTGCTCTGGGTCAGATGGCTTACTCAGCAGTCGTCCCTCTTCTCTGTTTCAGGGCTACCATCGATCCAACCACTTCATCGCCACTCAGGGTGAGTATCGGCACGAGCCTCTGCGGCCTCTGTGTGTGTGTGGGTGTGTGTGTGTGTGTGTGTGTGTGTGTGTGAAAGAGAGGGGGAGAGAAAGATGGAGAGAGAGAGGGAGACAGAGAGAGCAACTTCTGTTAGAGTAATAAATTAAAAATGATCTAACCAATGAACCCTCTCGACGCAGTCCCTTGCCAAAACAATCTCTCTTATAACTGCAAAGGTGCCAATATGTTACTGGGTTAATGGAGGAGTAGGCTATTCATTATGCAAGTTAATTACTTATTGGTAATTGCTTCTCAGTTTAGTGTTAACATTAAAGAGAGTCACAGGGTCAGAGAAAAGTGCTTATTTTAGTGTATGTGAGTATATCAAATGTACAGGCACACCTCGGAAAGAAAAGTGATAGAACATTGAGAAAAAAGTGAATGAAAAAATAATCTATTGGACATAAAAGTCGCAAGCACATGACTATGTATTTCTGAATAAGAGTAAGTCAATGCCACATTAATTCTTGGCACTAAAAGAATCCTAGAATTATTCCATAGAAATAATGTACTTTCCTATATTCTAGTATACTACTATTCATTGTTTTCAGGACAAATTTCTTTCTTGATTTGAAAGTTTTTGTGGCGACCTTTCCCTGTTCAAAAGAGTTATTTTTGAATTGATCAACTGCTGTAATAACAGAGAACGTTGCCATGCCAAATCCTTAAAAAGCAAGGAATCCTTGTGCCTCTAACCCATGCATAGTAAAAGGAAGACATACAGTTAAGAGCAATCCTTAAAATAGCAGCATAGTAATTAAAATCATGTAGACTACAAATTTAAAAGGTGTCTCTTAATATTTCATGACTTGGGAATCCAGTAGAGCTTTCATTGCCCTGGAGAAGAAAGTAGTGGTTCAGTAGTTGTGTTTTTCCTCTGTAGGTAATTTTTTTTCTTCAAAATTTTCACTAGCCCACGTACATGTTCTGAAGATAATGACTTTGGACTTTGAACACTCCATTTAAAATGTCCCTTTAACCTCCCTCTATTGAAGGTCTGTTTTTTTAGACGCTTCCATCACAATAGCGACTTTGCTCAAGGTCTTTTTATGTGGCCATACTTTTACATTTCTGTCTGTATAGGCTGCAGAAGATGAGAAGATGACTCTCTGCTATGCTATTGTCTGCCATCTTCTTTTTGTGTTGTTATCATTTTACTAGTGTTGGTTGTTTCCTTCTTTCTCTTCTAACTAGTGTTATTTCAAATTTGATTTCAATATTGAGAAAAATGCTTAATAATCAATATTTTGGTCTTATACTTTTCTGACCTAGATCAAGATAATTTCTCAAACTCTTCACAAAAGGTCAAATTTTTTTTTAAACAGTACTGATACTTCAAATGAGTGTCTAGTTTCTGGACATTGATACTTTTGACAACCTTATTAACACATATTTTGAGATATTTTTACCCTGTTTTCAACATTTAGTACATCTTTATGTTTTGTCACATTGTTAACTTTCTTAATAATCTTTCTTTTTGCTTGCTGGTAGGACCTAAGCAGGAGACGCTGTATGATTTCTGGAGGATGGTGTGGCAGGAGAATTGCTTCAGCATTGTCATGATCACTAAACTTGTGGAGGTGGGCAGGGTAAGTGTGTCCACCTGCTACCAAATATACACACATTCATCCAAAAGGAATATATAGAACAATCTACTGCTACTACTGCTATGTTTATATTGTGATTGCATGTATTTTCTCTGGTTACTTTCCAATAAGCACAAATTTTATCTGGATATGAAGAGACATTAGATCAACAGGCTACAAAATTAAAGGATCTATTTTTGCATGTTTTGATATTTGCATCTATACTCGCTCTAGCTGCTGATAGAATTTACCATTATAGACACACTCCCTCGCTCCCACACATCTGTACAGCCATAACAATAGCGGCCCCAAAAGCAGATTATAAACAGGTCTTTATTGTTACAGAGATGGTCCCTTTTATCTGTTATAGCTGTACCATCAAATTGAGATGGGGTGTTATAGAAATTTCCATCATGACCATAATGACACCAAGCGCCATAAAATGTAGCGTAAAGTACTTGTCATGCATAAAAGCGTCTTCTGTATGGTGCTTTTAAGGCTGCTGTCCGTACATATGCGCCTTTAATACCCGGCACACAATAGACCACGCTATTTCCTGGCTCACATAAATACCTGCACTATATGAATGCAGTTTTAAGTACCCTATGCTTTTCAGAGCAGCTGAGATGGTTAAATTGGCGCAATTTTTCCACGCTACTGCTAGATCCAATTTGATTCTCGATCCTGACAATTTTGAGGAGAGTCAACACATGACTAAAGCTTTGACTGAATCCAAAAAACATCCCCATTTAACTAAAAATGACCTTTTTGTGTGGTGAGAACAACAGACTGTAGTGGTCCTCTTCATTATACTTTCCCACATTATGTGATTATCGTAGGCTCTTTTTCTGCCTCTCTGAAAAACATAAGAGCTTGTTTTTTATTTCTCTGCTTCTATTGTGAGGCTAGTATCAGACTAGTCTGTTATTATACTCAGACACAAAATTATATCTAGAATAGATAAGCTAAAAATGGGCCAGCAGAAGATATTTTGATCCGTTTGCGTGTATACTGTAATGAGGTAAAATGTAGACAATTTTCTCTGCCTTGGTTATGTGCGAAAAGTCAAAAATATTGAAGTCTCCACACAAAGGGTATGCTATGTAATTTACACATTATTTACTTTGAGTTACTTCTCTGCCTAGAATGTGCCACAGTACACCATTAAACCTGCCAATCTTGCATTTTTTTCAATTACAGGTGTTTTTATTGCTAAAATTATCTTCAAATTGTTACTGTTAACAGGCTTGTCTTGCCACAGATATGCACTGTAACTCACATGCTTGTTACCATCATGGAGGTATATAAGTTTAGTGGCATACTGATGAACATTCTAGGTAAATGTCTGAATTCCCTCAGTCGTCCAGGTACAATCCATAGGAAACAAAAAATCCAATTCTGTGAACTGGACCAAAGAGTGGAGACGTTTTCAAAACTGCGGTCTGGTTCACAGAATTTCATTTTCCGTTTACAATTCGAGGCAAAGCAATAACAACTTCACGGAGACACGTTGACACTGTACCTCCCACCAGAAAAGTTATTGTACATTTAAGTCAAAGAGCTGAAGCACATAAGAGTAATAAATAAAATCTCAACTTATTTGTCATGTTGCTGATTCAGGAGGTTTATTACAGGTCAGGAAGTTGACAAGCTTATCACTCTTTTGAAAGCAGGTGATGTTTATTTCCATTTAAACTTCTATTCCTATTCCTCTCACCTCTTTCAACCAGGTGAAATGCTGTAAGTACTGGCCTGAAGACAGTGAGATGTACGGTGACATCAAAATCACTCTACTGAAGAGCGAGACCCTGGCGGAATACACTGTGCGCACCTTTGCCTTAGAACGGGTGAGTTAATTTAGCTGCAGGTTAGAATGTAAATATCCATTTCATTTAGAGCATAAGATAAATAGTCATTATGTTTACGTGAGACTAGATGCATTTCACTCTTTTTTTAATGATGATGTGAGCTGACACTACCCAGCAGAATTAAATGTTGCACTAATAGAAGAGATTAAATGTTGACTGTGATGGGACTAGAGGAACATGGTCAAAACTCACAGGGATTAACCACAGTGGTTTTTAAATGCCCCCGCTGTTTACCCATCAAACTGTGAGACTGCCCCCCTCCCTATCCCTCCAGTTTCCCGAGGCTGTTACTGGAGGACTTCATTGCGGCGCTGAAATGACAGTGGCACAAACACAGGCCTATCATCACTATGTCACGCTTCTGCTTATTCAAATCAGGCAAATTCAGGAGGCAGTGACAGCTTGTGTTTTATCACATTCTTTTTAGGGATTTCTGTCTACAACAAATCTTTGCCTTGTCGCTTTACTTTGCCGTGGCTGTGTGGAGGGAGGGATTGAGCAGACTCCCAGTGGAGATGAGAAACCTCCCAGTTCCCCGGGAGCATAAGTAATTCCTGTCCACCTGTCTGTCACACAGGCATACAGTACAACGAGACTCACATGCCTCCAGGCTTTCTGATGCAAAACCTGCTTTCATGTTTAACTGTCCCCGTGTGAACCAAAAATATCTCACATCTATCACAGAAACTGATGCGACGTCTGTAAAATAGTTTAAATAGTGATAGCAATGTTTAATGGCTGCCTCCTGTTTTGGAATTTTATGATGATGAATTTGATGTCATAATTTCAGATGGAGGACTGGGGCCTATATAACTCTAAAGGAGAGACACTGTTTTTAATGCTGTACCTTATCATTATTGGTTTGGCTCCACAAACTTGCCATATTAAACTTGTGTCTTTAGCCATTTCACCTAACAAGATTAATGCGTATGCGTTTGAATATTGCCACCACTTTGTGAAGCCAATTATAAAAAGATAATTTCACCTCAGTTGTTTAATGCTGAGACAGATGAGACATTGGACTTTATGCCAGAGTTTGCTTCTGTGGATAGGCAAATCTTAACTATAAACCAGGTCCAACACATGTCTTTTTGACAGTTCTAAGCACTGAACCTTTGTGAATATACATAATAATCGTTTCTGTTTCTCTTTGTTTTCTTTGATTTTGTAGAGAGGATACTCTACAAAGCATGAGGTGCGACAGTTCCACTTCACATCCTGGCCTGAGCACGGGGTGCCCTATCACGCAACTGGGCTTTTAGCTTTTATACGAAGAGTCAAAGCCTCCACACCCCCTGATGCGGGGCCAGTGGTGGTTCACTGCAGGTACCATCCACCATCAACCAACTACTGCTGTTTGTGAAACTGTTGTAAACTAAACTACCATTAACTTTACAGCCTCAACTTTTAGAAAGAAAATAATGGGAAAGTTGTACAGTGTTTTTATTGCTCTGGGTTTGAAAAAGTTTCAGTTATAACAAACAAACAGACAATTGTTGTTATTTTATCAATACTAAAATAATAAAAAATATCCATTCACATTGAATTACAAATAAAATACAGCCTGAGGATGCATGCATACCTGACTAGACATAAGACGTGAGATTAGATGTTGTTTGCTAACTTTAAATGTCTTAATTAAGATGAGGACATAAATGTAATCACCTTTTTAATTAATGAATAAACATTACTTTTGATGTTTCACAGGTTTTTATTGTAGCCTACAGGCCGTAACTGTTAATGAAAGCACAACCTCACTAAGAACAGTAACATAACATTTGATTTTTATTCCCAGGCTGCAGCAGTTAACAAAACTATTACCTTTTATATAGTCTACCGAACCAGTCTACGAAATATTAATAAGCGTGGCTTTATCTCTTTGTTGTTGTTGTTGTTGCAGTGCTGGGGCGGGGCGCACCGGCTGCTACATAGTCCTGGATGTGATGCTGGACATGGCTGAGTGTGAGGGAGTGGTGGACATTTACAACTGTGTGAAAACCCTGTGCTCACGCCGCATTAACATGATCCAGACTGAGGTGAGCCCACACATGCCAACAGCCAGCTCACAGCTACAACATGTCTTTAATTAGGCAAAATGTCTCCTGTGCGTCAATGTTTGTGGGCTAATATTATCATAACCCTCTTTGGGGACTTGAACAAAGGTCACATTAACAGTTTGAGAGAAGGCCCTTCATGCCCTCCTCAACATGCATTTCCTCAGATCTGCAGATAATTTACATGTTCACCTTTGATTATGTAAATCCCGCATTGACTTAGCTGTTTATTACATTTGTAGGGTATTTGCAGAGGTTCTAATTAAATGCATACCATGTGTTTGTTTACTCAGAAATATTATCTATTCTCAAACAGCTTTGATACACCAGCGGCATTATTGCCCATGTTTAATTCAGAGACAAAGCTGCTTATGAAAAATAGTCTTCTCTTGTCTCATAATTAATTCAAATATACATATGTTTTACCTGTCTCTTGTTTCACTCTAGCTTCTTTACTATGACCTCGAACAAATCTTAGCTATAATCAGGGGTGGAGTACTTTAGTTTTTAGTAATTAAGTATAATTTTAATGTCTTTTAATTTGATAGTTTGTAAATGGCTACATTTCAAATGTAAAATGAGATAAAAGAATGTGGATTGCTTGAAACAATTGACCTTTAAACTACTTAATTTAAAATTTTAATTACTACTACTGAATTAAGCAATACTTAATTTGTACTTTTAATTTAATTTTCTTTAAAAAAAATTACTCTTTCTACCATTGCCTATATTATAAAACTCAATTGCTTGTCACTTGCAGGAGCAGTATATCTTTATCCATGATGCCATTCTGGAAGCCTGTTTGTGCGGAGAGACGGCCATCCTAGTCAATGAATTTGCAGTCGCTTACAAAGAAATGCTGCGAGTGGATTCTCAGAGTAATTCCTCACAACTTCGAGATGAGTTTCAGGTCAGTGCTTTTGCCACATGACGCCTAGTAAATGTTCGTGACCATAAAGCTATTTGTTATAATCACCTGCCATTTATACAACTAGCCCTGTTACAAAAACAAGCTTGTAATTGTGATACATTCTTAAAGAAAGTGATGATAAATGATAATATTGAAGACCACTTTATGCCACTGATTCAATAAACTGTATGCAATAAATAAATGGCACAACAGATTAGTATATATAATCACACATATTGTAATTATTACGTACAATCACTAAATGCATTTGAACGATGAGTTAGTATAGTCATAGACCAATATGCAACCACATACAGAACAGTTATCATGTTTTGTTGGGTTTTTTTTTTTACTTTCAAGACCCCCTTTTTACTTTCAAGACCCCCTCAACAAATGTTCACTTGCTGCAGTTAGATATTCCACCTACTCACAGGTGCTATGATGGTGAAACGTCAGTGGCCACATGACTCCATGTTATTCATTATGCTTATATGGTATATGCTCCACTTAAATAGAACCGTATCTATCTTAGTTTGTATTTACAGTTCAGTGTGTTCACTTATTGCTACTGTACATTGGGTTCTTGGTGCAGTGTAGAAATACTAAGTGGACACGAATTGTTATCTGGCTCTAAAAAAAATGTTGATATTTATTTTTTTGGCATATTATAGCCCACCCCACTTTTACACTTGAAACAGAACAGACTCTAATTGACCTTAACTCTTCATATTTTATACAAAAATACCAAATATTCTATTATTTAACAAGTGTGTGTAAATATGTTGACAGAGGAGTAGTACACATTTGGGATTTTTAAACCTATCTTTAAACTCTTCTGGTGAGAATCGTAAAACCGCAAATATCCCTCCAAACGTGAGTGCACTTTCCTTCCCTTCACTCGTGATCGGGTGTGACTGGCTCTGAAATGCTTGATGTGGTTTGTGGGAGCGCAGTGTCAGAGCATTTCGTTAGATGTTGATGAGGGGAGAGGAGAGCCAGCTGTGTTCCCCACATGCTTTACCTGCGTCTCTGCTCACTCTGCCTCAGTCGGCTTTACCATTTCAAAGTGACTCCTGCTTTTATTTAATATTGTTTTATCCTGTTCATAAGCTGCTGTGTAACAGACATATCTCTTAAGATTACCTGGAGTTACAGTTGGTGGTGAGATACACTTCTTTACAAAGTGTGAGCTCTTAATTAAAAGAAAATGTGACAGCTTTGATCTAATAAATGCCTCCTGTCTCTTGTCTTCCTGTCGTCCAGTCTGTTTTGTAGCGGAGCAGGGTTAGCCATCACCAATGTTCAGATGTATTATTCATGAGATTTTGATTCTGTCTAATGTAGTTATGGTCAGATGGGAGAAATGCTGTCCTCTAACTTTTTGTGCCAGACCTAAGCTTGAAGTCCTGAACTTTTCTGGACATAGGACAGATGAAGTGTAAAATGTGGAGGGGGTGAGGTAGAGACATTCGGCAAACGGTCATGACCTGGGGACAAATCCATGATGCCGAAGTGGTAAGACTCACATGAGCAACGCCTTAAACCACCATGCCTCCGGCGAGTCAGGGAAAGAAAAAATAATATGGTCTCTGGAGGAAGGAAGATTTGCAGAGCTTACTCTGTATCAGAAAAGGCAACAGTTAATTTTTTTTAATTTTTATTTAGGTGCACTATGGAGGTTATTGCTCTGCTTGGAATTTCAAATACCTGTGGAACTTTCCAGGAAAAGCAATCATATCTCCAAGGGAAATAAGTAGGTGGTGAATTTCCTGCCAGGTTACATAGCCTTTATAGACACTGACACAACATGCTCCTATTAAAACTACAAACAATGCTAATTTCACGGGGCACTACATAAAGTTTTGGAAGTTCTGCACTTGCTTGTTTGCTTGGAGATGTTATTGCTTTGCTTGGGATGTTCTACAGTGTTACATTAAACTACAGTGTTGCATTAATTTTGTGTTTTACTCCTAAAAATACCTAATCATACATTCTTACAGTGACGAGGGTCTGTCTCCTCTTCACAGCCTGGTGGTATCGGTTTATCTCCAGTCTCATAGTAGATACAAATCCTCTGTCAAAAAAGTGACACAGTGCACCTTTGAGTAAAAAAGCCACTCTAAAAGAAGCTCATGTTGTTGCTTTACCTCTTTTCAGTCATAGTATTTTACCTGCTCAGTTTTCTTTTGCAGACTCTAAACTCTGTGACCCCACATTTGGACGTGGAGGAGTGCAGCATCGCCCTTTTGCCCCGAAACCGTGAGAAGAACCGCAGCATGGATGTTCTGCCTCCGGACCGGGCGCTGGCGTTCCTGGTCACCACTGAGGGGGAAAGCAACAACTACATAAATGCAGCGTTGGCTGACAGCTTCCACCGCCAGGCCGCGTTCGTGGTGACCCCTCACCCTCTGCCTGGGACCACTGCAGACTTCTGGAGACTTGTGTACGACTATGGGTGCACCGCTGTAGTCATGCTTAACCAACTCAACCAGTCCAACTCCGCCTGGGTAAGGTCACCCCGCTGTGCTTAGTCTTATTGCAATTGATTTTGTTGTAGCCGTGGATAACTTGGGTTCAGTCTCGAGGTTATGTGAAATTTAGTGAAGACTTTTCCTGATATTCACTGCCTTTCGCTCTTTCCTATATCTTACTGTGCTGCGGATTAGTTCCTTCATGGCATTTTGTCTGACTTTGATCCCTGACCGCATTGATCTCAAAGCATGACTAGATAAGGCCCGCCCTAGTTTTTTCCTTCCCCTCCTCGCGCTCCATCTCCAGAGAATAGGCCTGTGCCCTCCAGACATATCCCACAGTCCTTTCTTGTCTGCGCCCCATTTTTTCTCATGAGCACACCACTTTTGCTGTAGCACTGTATTTTACAAGCTTTAATGTCTTATAATAGCAGCCATCATAATCTATTAAAATAGTCCTGTTCCTTTTCATACTTAACTATAGAGTTCAGTTCAGTAATACATGTATTCATTTTTGTTGCAGTTTATATCTTACTGTTAAAAGGGCCTCATGACATACATACATACATACATACATATACATACATACCTATCTCTAAGAATACATTTACAGTGAATGCAGTATGTATATGTTTGTAATATGAGGGATAAACACAATCAAATTGCATTTCTGTGGATGAGAAAGACACTACAATCCCCAGTTGTTTAATAATTTAATCTTTGAAAAATGTTGGGCGCTGGTTTCAAATAGACTTCTGTACAACAGCATCAGGGGGAAATCCCGATGGAAAGTGTCCAACTGTTTGTCTCAAAAGTAAACAAACCCCTCAAAGCTTTTCCTGGCATCTGTTTATGCCTGATTAAAACTATTTGTAAAAGTTTGCCTTGGCGCAAGCTTTTATCATCACTTAATTAAATAATGACATACAACATGGGTTAATTGCAGCACTACCCCTTTTAACTTTTCATTTGATTATAGCATTGAAATGTCAAAAACTTTAAACTTAAGTTTTTGCGTTGCCAATGAATAGATGAAAAACTGTTTATGCTAATTATGCGACTCAAACTGTCCTGACGATTTTTACATTATTTAGTCAGCTTTTATGTTTAGTCAAAAATAATTACTGTTTATCCTGACGTGTAATTGTGAAACAATTTATGCTACACTCAGAAAGATTTAATTAAGCAAATATGAGAAAAGTTGAGTTAAATTTATGTATGGCAGTGATTTTTTTTTCCTGTCAAAGTATGTGAGCCACCTTTTCTTACACAGTCCATATTGGCTCCATTGTGCTCATTAAAAGCCTTGTACTTGAATTGCCCGGGTACAAAACTGAACAAGATTTCTCTTTATTTCCTTCTAATCAAGTCCTTATTTTGATCTGATTTCTTACTGTGCAGTGAAGTTCTTTCAGTTTCTGTCTGAAAATGGAGTTATAGCCATTTCAAGCTGCTGGATCTTGTTATGAACTCTGCTCATTTGTGCTGCTAAAGAAATGGATCTCGCTTCATTTTCATTTGCTCTGAGCCACTTCACGAGCAGAGCCGCCTCATCTCTCTGGTCTTATTAACACCAGTGTGCCACCATAACACCTCTTGCTTCACCATTAAAGGCACCGACTCACACTCTGCCAAAGCTACTTTACATTTTCTCTTGCTTTTGTTATGCTCTAAATTCTCTGTACTATCTCCTTGCCAAACTGTTAACAGATATTTTCATAGATATAAGGGCTTTCTCTTCACATCTGCAAAAAAAAAAACACGTGTTAATGCTTCATTTGACATGTAAATGTAATTTTGTCATGTAAATGTTTAGTCATATTTTACTGGCATATTATTATTCTTTTCATACAATTCAAAAAACCTGGGTAATTAATCAAATTGTATTTTATTTTATATTTCTAATTGTCACTGATATGCTTTTTAATCAAGTGGTCCACAACTTGACCACATGTGGTCTGGAGGAGAGTTCAAAGTTTGGAGGAACAATTTTTAAAAATGTTTGTGCTAAAGGAGACCTATTATGCTAAATCAACTTTTCACAAACTTGGAAATTGCAGTTTTCCAACCAGGAAGTCAGTGGACTTATTAAAGTGCACTAATTATGCAAAATACATTTTTAGAGCTTTTATTTAAAATTTTTATACATTTTATTTCACCTTTATTTAACTAGGAAAAAGTTTCATTGAGATTAAAAACCTCTTTTCAAAAGGAGTCCTGGCCAAGAGGCAGCGATTACTGTATATAGTTACAACATACATGCAAACAACAATAAAATGACATGGATCACAGTTTAGGAAAAACAGGTGCACAATACTGAGGCAGTCTCTGATGCTTTCACCTTAGATTTGCAAGCACTCAAGGACAAGCCATGTTATAGTTTTTTCCCCTTTTCATTTGTCCTCTCGAAATTGTGTAGAGCTTCTCTATTTGATCTTTGTTACTAAAAATTGTTTTTTTATATTCTATTTTGTATCCAAGTTTAAAATTGTAATTGTTGATTGACAGCCGTGTGTGCAGTACTGGCCAGAGCCGGGCCTGCAGCAGTACGGTCCGATGGAGGTGGAGTTTCTGTCCATGTCGGCCGACGAAGACGTCATCACTCGTCTGTTCAGGGTCAAGAACGTGACAAGGGTGAGGCTACACACAGCTGTGGTGGCTAAGACATGTGTTTGAGAAATGTATTATTCTGAGAGTGTGACAGACTGTAAGCACCCACAGTGATGAACAATACACAAAAGAACAGACTTAAAGTGCTTACTGTTATCACAGCATTACTACAATCACACACTAGGATGCCATTAACTCTCACATGATTAAACTTAGAGCAGACATTTTACATTAGAGAATTCATGTGTGAAGAATATGAGCTGATACAACCTCATGTCCCAGTACACTCAGGTGAGAGTTGTCCCTCTGTAGTTGCAGCCTGAGTGTTCACATGGATAAGTCTCTTCACACGCCTCACTGTTAGATGTGTCTGTGCCTGGATGGTTTTATGCTGAAAAATTAGCATAAGTACATGCATGCATTCTGCTCAGGATCCCTGTCAACCAATTACTAAAGGAATTTGTATGCGCTGTGTCTCGTTGATGCCATTTTTAACAGTGCGACAGGCAGGGCCAAAGACTCCTTTCTTCCCTGATTGGCATCCTCACCTCCTCTTCCCACTGGCCTTGTCGCTCCCTCTTTCATATGCCGCCTTTATTCTACTTTGTGGACAGCATTGTCAAGAGCAGGGCAACTTTTTAGAGCAGTGGATTAAAAATCATACCGAAATAACCCACCTCTCCCTCTCTCTGTCCTGCCCTCTGCCTATTAGTATTTCCACTGATATAGGGCGTAGAAAGAAAGTAAAAGTCAAAGAAAGTGCATCGTAAGCATATGAATGAGTAGGTATTAAAGTCCCACAGAAATGAGTAAATCCCACCTCCACAGAGCCTATTCCTCCATGCATCGTTGGTGTCGCTGCCAGCCCAATTTGCATGACTTACAGTTCTCCACTGGTCCCTAAGTGTTACGTGAGCTTCTACAGGACAAGGTTATGAACACACGGGGAGCGCTCGGGTGCACAGCTCACACTCGTACATCTCACAGACAGTGTACAGCAGGAGAGCATTCGCACAGGGCGTTAACCGCCATCAACAAACCTATAAACACAAGCTCAAATGTCACTGGTGTAGGGATACAGGGACATGGCTGGGAATTATTTTGTTTTTGATTACAATTCAAAAAAGAGGCAAAACTGAACTTGTATTTAAAGTGCATTTTTTGTGTGTGTGTTTGTGTGTATCTACCAACTGTAAACTGGGCCACCTCTCCACAGATGTGACCTGTTACTTTTCATAGGGGAATCACCTGCTTTTTAAGGAGTTGGTTAAATATCACACTGCAGAACATTCCAGGAAAATAAATTATGACAATCTCTGAAAACAACCAAGTGGCATGTTTGAGATGAAAAACTAAACAAAACACAGAAGTAGAATAATATGTTGATAAATAATGGCTTACTAATCGACATCTTTAAATGTCAGTATACATAATCAATGTCAGAGAGCTCTTTATAACACACGAGGTGGCCAAAATCAGCTTCAGACTTAATAAGAAAATCATAACGGATGCGGTGCTTCGAGTATGGAAGAAGGTGTTCATAAATGTAAATGGAGTGAGAATAGAATCTTCTGACATGAACTGTTTTTGGTGTTGAAGCTTCAGGAGGGGCAGCTGGTGGTGTGTCAGTTCCAGTTCCTGCGCTGGTCTGCGTACAGAGACGTCCCTGACTCCAAGAAGGCCTTCCTCAACCTCCTGGCCCAAGTGCACAAGTGGCAAAGGGACTGTGGCGAGGGGCGCACGGTGGTCCACTGTTTGTGAGTAATCCATTATACCAGATCATTTAGGACTGTTTTGAATATAATTGTGTGGTATTGTGTATGTGGTTACATTTTTCCATTTATGTATTGAAATCAGGATTCTGTTAATTTAAACCCATCTAGGAGTATTAACATTTGAGTGCTGACTGTAATATGAATTATGTTAATCTTATACAGGGATCCCATGCATTTTACAACAGGTTTGTACTGCAGGGTTAGCAAGTTTATACATAATAAAACTCAAGTAATTGCACAATTTGCATTTTTCCAACTGCAGCCATTCAAATTGTGATTATGATTTGATTACAATGAATCTTATTCTTACTGATAAAACGCATTGGCTTAACTCATAGGTCTGCACACTGTCTATTGCTCTAGTCAAATGAAAACACAATTAAAGCTTACCTCTTTGTGTACACTTCCTAGATGTTTATAATAAAGGACTGTTTACTTATAAAAATGCTAGACTCCGGGTTTATCCTTGTCTTGTCTCGATTTGCTGTGATAAAGTACAGCCCAAAGTCCTTCTGCTGGCTATCTAATATTATTTTTGGAGGAAGCAGTTGTGTGGTGTGGTGCAGTGTGGTGCAGTGTGCAGATGCCTGGGTGCCCTCTCTTGTCTGTTGTCCTAAGCCCCCAGAGCACACGTCGGCTGATGAATATGAATGGGCTGTCCATCTCATTGCCAAAGCATCGCACATTCAGCCCGCGCCTCCACCCAAAAGCACATCACTCAGCGCTGTCACACAGTGTTACCCACGACAACCAGGAAAGAGATTATGGAGATCAAATCAATTATGGCTTAATACAGAATGCGCGGGTTCCCACTACAGTAAATCCAGGGCTGCCAGTGCACTGACAACGATTGATTGCCTTAATATCGCTTGTATTGGCTGCAGAGGCCTGTGCCCACCTTCACTGGGTTAGTCTCTGGAGACAGGAAGTGGATTGTCCTCCTCCAGTTTATTGATATTTTGTTTCATTTATGAAGACTGGAACTATATTTGATGTCATGACACAGCATGGGCTTATTTCCTACATTTCCACAACTTTATTGTGTTGTTTTATTTTTGTCCAGGTTTTGTTGCTGTGGTTGCTTCAGTTTGATTATTCATGATACTATGTCTTCACATTAAATACTCTACACTATTATGCATTCATAATCCACACCTGTGTATTAGGAGGCCTATCTCTACATGGCAGAAGTAAATTTGCATTTTCAAATTTGCACAGAGCACGTGTAGGTGAATCTCTGCTTGACATGTAATGTGATGGGATTTGTGCTGAAGCACATAGACTCACTGAAGACCAGATGAATATTACAGAATGTAAGACAAGGCCTAGAAATCCTATATTTGTTTGTTTTATATTTGTTCATGTTTCATTGCAAAAGCTATTTACTCAACTCTGGGTGTGTAATGAGAAATGCTGCATACAATATTAAACACAGCAAATTTTCAGACTTTTTAGCTTTTTATGTGGATTTACTACATTGTGACAGTTTTGTAACTGTTCTTAATCAAACTTCATTGCATCTTATTGCACTTTTGAGCACATAAAGTTCCACAAATCAATATAAGTATGCATTATACCATATATGCCAAGCTGTTAAACATTCCACGTAAAACAGCCAGGAAACAATCTCCTAGATGTCTTCTTAAATCATTATATGGTGTTGGGAAAACCTTTTTTCTCATTTCATATAGAGACGTGACATCTGTGTTTGTTTTGATAGAAATGGCGGCGGTCGCAGTGGCGTGTTCTGTGCCTGTAACATCGTCCTGGAGATGAGCCAGTATCAGAACATGGTGGACATCTTTTATGCTGTTAAAACTCTACGTAACTGTAAACCCAACATGGTGGAGTCTCTGGTGAGAACAGACACTAATCAATAAATATCTGCTGTAAAATTACTGGTTTTGCTGAATACATATTGTATTTTTTATAGGACCAGTATCGATTCTGTTATGACCTCGTCCAGGAATACCTGGACTGCTTTGAAGCAAGATAGCAACTAAATGTTTACCAGCGGAGGAGTTCTTCATCCAGGAGATTTGAGTTAAGGCTGCCCAGTGACCTTGCCACTTTCATGTTCTGAACCGGAGACTTTCTATTGAAAAGACTGCAGCCGCGAGCTGAGAGTCGAGGAAAAACACGCTTAAGGTTTCAACTTTTAACCTTTAATGTGCAGCTGTGATTTCCTCTCGTCACTGACGTGCTCCTCGTTTGATATTTTGTGCTTTTTTGGGTCCGTTTTGCCTCCGGACTATTTTTTGTTAAGGTAGCAGCAAAACAATATTGTAAGCTACAAAATAGACCTGTCTCTTGTGAAGATGGGTCACCTTGGCCGTGTTTCATCGTTTCATTGAAGTGGCGAGGGAGATGGATGAAATTTCAGAGTTTCAGCAGTATTATCTTTACATGGGAGGCGTTTTCCTGTGTCCCAGAGCGCTGCGGAGGCCACTGTGGTTATTAGCAGCACTCCTCTCCCATACCATGAACTGCCTTATTCTCTGATCTCCACATCCTCTTGTTTAATAAGCCTACAGACTGACACAGACTGTACAGTCGTGCAAATGTGTTGTATTTTCTGATGTTTGTGCTATAGAAGATTACCACTTGTGCTGTAGGTGGATGGAACCAGGCCTGGACCACCACTGGAGATTTCTGGTCCCGTATTGTCACAGTGCCAATCCCAAAGGCTTGACTTGAATCCTTTTGTTACTTTGTTCATCTGAATATTTGCCTCCAAACACACAGTATGTGAAGTGCAGGCTGTTGTGGTTGTTTTTGTGTGTTTAATGTTAGGCCCAGGGGGAGCTGTCACCAACATGCCATCAAAGTGGTGTGTACAATGTGATAAGTGTCTGAACCAATCAAAAGCCACAGGGTTAACTCTGATTTACATTGTTTCATATAAAGATGCTGTTCCCCCTGTTGAAGCTTATGACAGCTTCAAGTTTTATGACATTTCAAGTTTTAAATGATCAGTTTTGCTGTTGTTGTAAGTGATGTATAAAAAAGACAATTATATTCATGTAAAGACGGGCATTAACATGAATTAACATATTTTTACATTTACAATTGCTTTAAAATGACCTCATACAAAATGATAAATATATGTTTTCCCAGGCAAAGCATTATGACCATTGAAATCTATAAAACAGATGATCTCTTTATTTTGGCACTTCTTAGAGAGTGGAATATATTTGACAAAATAAAAAAGAATAATAACTTGAAAGTAAAGTTTAAATAAACACCGTTTATTACATTGAAATAATAATAAAAATTACAGATTTAAGAGAGTTTGTCAAAGGCAACATTGTGATGGGTTGGGTCAGCAGTTGAAACAGCAGCACTTTTTGGGTGTTCCCTTCTAATCTGATTTTGTGTAGTATTAGGCAGTCATGGTCATTTGGTCATGGCACATTACAAATAGACAGGTTATTGGTGTTTGCTTCATTGATTTTCAATGTAGATGTGAGGCTTTCACTGTTTGGCAAAATTATTCTAAATGTCAAGAATTATTGATAGAGCAACTCTTGGTAACCTGCTCTATTCTTTGAGCATTCTTCTGGACCTACACAAGGACAACACCATCAAAGAAAAGAATTTGCCCACTGTTGAGTATTCTACACTGAATCTTCAGTGTTGTGTCTGAGTAGAGAACAAAGGACTTTGACAGAGCTGCTAGAAGCTATAGACTGCAATGTAACAGAGAAAGTGCCTGGAGTCTGGCTGACAGAAAGGGTTATGTACATAGAGATGTATCATATGTAAAGTGAACACTATGTGAATAATATGCTATATGTTTACCCAGAGTAAGAATAAGTAACCACGTCATATTCACCAAGCTGAATGTAATGTAAATGACATTTTGTGCGTTTGTTGCCAGATCCTTTAATAACATCCCCCTGTCTGTGCTCCTGGTAAACACGGCATGTATGATCCCATTGTCTGTTTTGCATTTCACGTCGTTGTTTTCACAGATCCCCTGCATTTCATGATTTTCTACTACCATTTGACAGCATTGTACATTATTTCAGTTCAGTTTTTCTTGTATAATGTTCAACCAATGGTACACGACTACTGTGTTTTTTGACCATTGTATTTGTAGGAAAACTGTGTGTCTCATGAATGAATTGAAGCTGTTGTATTCTGGGAAGGGGTTTCAAACAATAAAAGAGCAAAGGGGCAAAAAGGTGTAGTGTGGTGTTTTCAAAATCACTTGTGGGTTGTTTTTTCTGATTAGGTTTTCAGCAGGAGCAGTGTGATGACAGCTTGACGCGGACTTCCTGCTCACCCCATCGCGGTTTTGGGTCAGATGCTCTCCTTTAGCGTTTGACCACATCACCATTCAAGCCTTTCCCTGTTAGCCACAATGCGTTCCTTATTTCCATGCTTTCTCATCTTTTTCTATCTGGTTAGGGGCAGCGAAAGGTGACTCCAGACCGCAGACTTCCTCCCTCACCCCTGGCGATGTTGAATAATAGAGCAGTGCTGCAAGTGGATCTGGTTTGTAGTACTGGGACATGCCGCATTAATTAGAGGACAAGACCCCCTGCTGGTAACGTCACTAAATGATGGTCTTTAACTTATAATTTCCGTTAATAGCAGCACTTTTCTGGTCGTAGATTTATAGTAATTATACCAAACAAATCTGAATAATGGGTTTACTACTTTTTCTCTCTGTTCCAGTTGCACAACATCAAGTCATCTATGTCCCAGTGCAGTGATTTCCATAAAGCGTAAACAAGTTTTATATCCACTTTTTACAAACTCTTCCTGGTTTCAGTGTTAATTGGTCATTTGGTATGACTTGAAAGTCTGCTAATATTTCTACATTTGGAATTATATTATATGGTTAATGGCTTAATTTATTTTATATCATTTCTTTACCTGAAAAACCTTGAATTTCCCCTCCAGTTCCCCATCCTCCAGCACTCCTATTTGCCCAGTGCTCTTAAATGAGCCGGTAATTGGAATCTTATCATTTAATTCTGATGGTGTAATGGCTGTGCTGTGCTTATCCCTGAGCCCTGATCTGAGCTCCTGTCTCTGCGGCCCTCGCCTTATATTCAGCGCTGACAGCTTGGATGGAAGTGGGCTCCCCGGGCATCCCTAGTGAGTCGTGTGTATGTCAGGGAGAATTGGCAGTGAGCTCTGACAGCAGACAGGGGGAGAAGGTGAGATAGAGCTTTAACTGCAGCAGAATGTGCTCAGCTGGTGCCAACTACCTGCTACAGTATGGAGACTTGATACAGGACGTAAAGATGTCTGAGGTTTGGCCATTGGCAGAACACTGCCTCAGAGCGGTGTATCTTACTAACTGTTAAATGCTTTCCCTTTCAAGCCAAATGGTTCTCTGATAGAGACAGATAAAATCCAATATTCGCTGGGAGAATGTTGTCGCAAAAGCATTTGCGGATGACCTTGCTCCAGCCTCAGTCGATAAGTAGAAAAAGAATCTGCATATCCTTTAACAGAAAATAAAAAATAGAAAATGTTATTGTAATATTCAATACCCCACAGAGCAGTGCAGTCTCTCTGAGGAGTGCTGTGTTCCTGTCTGGGCTCTTCGTGGCTGATATGTGAGCACACATTATCTCCTCTTACATCCTGGTACTTGTCGCCTTGTTCTGGCGAGCATGGCGGCCCAGGCAGGTGGTTGCAGCTTTGTGCTCAGTAGAGCAGGGACAGTGACGACTTAGCCAGATGGCTGTGTCCAACACTATACCTCACAGTTTCCACTGCTGCACTGGTCCGATTGGAGCGCTTATCGCTGTGGTGGCTTGTAGTCCAGAGAAAGTCATGGTGAAGAAGAGATGTGTGTGAGGAAGATCACTGAACCAAACAAGAGCCCACAGATAACCACAGCCCCAGCACACATGAGAAACTCCTCATTCATTTTACACTTCCTACTGCCTTTTGGCCATGTGGGTCCCCTCCACACCACACGCCCCGCTCACAGCCCTGACCTGTGTCATAGAAGGACTCACACTCAACAGTTGAACTAAACCAGTGGAGGGACGTAAAACCACCATAAAATAAAACAGTTCATAGGGGAGCAGTAAAAGAAAGGGAAAAGAACTTTTAGTGCTTTTTATTCAACTTTTTACGGCTAATCTATCCCCGACACTTCCCTCTAGATAACAATATAATCTTGGGCGCAGCGGCTAGAAGTGATTTTACTCCAAGGATAATCTGGCACATCTCGAGGTGTTAAGCCTTCAGCGCTCGGGGAGAAGCTTGTAAATGATCTGATGTCAACACAAACCATTTCTAGGTTGTGGCAATAAAGCATCTCCGCACTGCCATGAATGTGAGGGATGGTCTTATCAAAAGGTCAGCCCAGTGAGAGACAGGCTTAGCCACTGGATTTATCCTTCAGCTTTATTTAGAGCAGAGAAATGGTGCTGCGGACAATGACTGGCATCAATCATTTTCACCAGAAGGCCCCACAAAATTAAACTAGAGAAGTATTTGTGAATCCCTTAAAGGTGGAACGCAAGGCAATCAATAGTGTTCTATTTTCCATGTATAGCTTTAAAATAATAGGCTCAATAACTCTGTTTAGGCAGCGGTGACAGGTGGATGATTGACAGCTCACTTACCTCCAGCAGTCAAAAACAGACTTTATGAGCTCCTCCAGATTGAATAAACAGGATTATCGCTCAGAGAAATGGTGAGCCTGGTTATCCCTATAGAACTTTACCTGTGAAGCTGCATGCTAGAGCTTTGAAAGCATATTATCGCCTATTTTATTCGATACATTTGGTTGTGTTATCAGTGTAATCCCTCAGTGATACAGGAGCAGGATCGGTTTCAAAGGTCGTCATATAGAACAGTGATCTTGAAATTGAAAATATTTAGCTCATGCCCTTTCAGGACTGTTGCGTTAACACTCCAAAATCCTGCAAAACAAAAATAATCATTAAGATTCAAAACAAGGTGAGTCATATCCTGCTTCCCTGCTTAGCTTCATAGGATAAATGTCTCAGTCATTAAATATCACATGTGAGAATAATGTAAGTCATATATGGTTCAGCAGTGACAGTTAACAAAGACGACCAATACAATCTTATTCCCTGGTTCACACTTAAATTAACGTTGGTCTCAGCTGCTTCAGGTCGCAGATAAATTAGCCGAATGAAGATCCGCCATGACAGCACTACACAACCAGGGGGTATGTTCCAGGAAATCTGTTGTTAAGTGCACCAACATTAGTCCCCTGAAGGCAATTAAGAACCTGCAACAGAACACAACATTGATCAGCAACATCAGAATGCAGCAGAGCAAATGGCACAAAAACACGGGTCTAAATATCGTGTGTTTCAGATTCTACAATGTGATGATGTTATGTTCCCAGATGGGGGCAAGAGTCGGTTTCGTCTATTGATTGATGCTATTTTGATGCTATTTTCTGATGAAACAGCCAAAAGGTAATAATTGTAATCTAAAACGTAATGTATTTCAACAAAAATCTCTCTCAAAAAAATCTCTCTCAAAAAATTTCAACAATATTCATTTAAACTGCCCGATCTACATTAAATATGTTGTGATGCTTCTAAAACCCAACAACAGAGAAGTTGGACAAAGGCAGAACTAAGACCACTTCTTTTCATGTTTAACCAATCGCAGACAACACTGGGGACTGCATAGTTTGATATTTATGCTATTTATTTAGTTGAATATGGTGTGTAGTTGTGTCATCTCTCTCCTCTTCCCTCCTGTTTCTCCTCTAGCTGTTGTCCAAACACATGCAGAGCCGTGAGGACAGGGGACACTTGTGATAGCAGTACACTGACCTGGGGCAGACCTGAGGGAGCGCTCCTCATGTTCATCCCTCTCTCGCCACTGGGTCACCATGCTCACGCTCGCCCCTCCAGACATCACATCTCTGCCCTGCCACGTCTGAGTAATGCCACGCTGCAGGTGAAACTCTCTCACATCCTCAGTGAAAATACTGTCCCCCTCTAAAGAGACTTTAACACTGTATCAGTACAGTGAGTGCACCTGTCTACAGGCTCACAACAGCTGAGCCACTTTCACAGTGTGGTGTTGGATATTGGGCTCTGCTAAGTCTTTAAGATGCACTATGCAACGAAAATGTTCCACAGTACAGACTTTTTATTCAAACAAGCAGGTGACACATCAGGTCAAGAGGCAAGGAGAAGACAAGGAGAAAAAAAAAAAAAATGAAAAAAGAGAAAGAATAGAATTACCACCATCAATACCACCACCAGAAAGGTTGCATGATACATCTTTAAATGTTACACAGGGGGAAGTAACCTTGAGAACTATTCATATGAAATGTTGTATTAAATTCAGTGACATTGTATAATGCAGGCTTTAGGGGTGCATGTGTTATTCCCAGAGGTGAAAAATACTGCCTCTATTATACAGATACAGGCATTATTTTCATGAAGTCACTACCACCAGGACTGAAACTGCTGTATTACTACTTCAGCATGCATCTTCAAACCCTTCATGTCAAACCTCAGAATGTTTACTTGGCTGAGTTTGGAGAATCCGTACAATACAGTATAAGCTAAGAAGAAAGTGTACATATATTATCAGAGTTCAATTATTATTATCCTCCTGCTTATCGCTTCCTGAAACCATGGCACTGAACTATTTTAATTCATTGAGGAAAAAATGTTAAAGCTCAGACATCATTTGTCCGCATGGTTTAATATCTTCTTCATTTCTGCACACGAGGATGTTTTTTGGAGGCCGATTTAAAATGTACTATATATCCCACTGCATACATTTCAATTGAAAATCTCTGACATCTTGATTGGAGCCACACATTAGCCAACTTTTTGCAAAATTTTGACCTTTAAATGCTAAATATAAATCATTTCTGTGGCTTTGGGGGCTGTTGGGAAAGTCAGTCTGGTTTTCATTATTTAAGGCACAGTGTGGGCCATTTACACAGAGGTGACAAAATTGTGATTAATATGAGTAATTTTGTGGGTGTGAGAGCTGGCGCGCTGAGACTGTCTTAGAAGGCTGTACTCTTAGCCCTTGGAGGTCGGATGATATTGGTCGAGGATGAGTGAGTCCACTACAAATTGGTGTGGTGTTTGAAGGCCTGTCCTCTGGCTTTGAGAGAGCAGCCGCCAGTGTCTTTCACAACTTTCAAACCTAATTAACAGGAGAAGGAGGTCTTTCTCTGCAGCCCTGTC